TTTTGCTGACTTTGGCACCCTTCAATAATGCTTTGACCCAATGGTTTTTGAGGACGACCAACTTGGAGTGAACCTTTACGTGTTACTGCACTTTCATCAAACCAAACATAGGTTGGTGAGGTTATTAGAAATATATGCCGGGCTTTCATCGTCTAGCCTTTTACCGGATAGAGAAGTTTAAGTCACTTCTTTTGTTTTCAGTTTTTCCACATTATTAATACAAGTGGTTTATTATATGGTTTATTAAGATTTACAAAAGTAGATTTCACAATTAAACTATTGTGAATGTCAGTATTCTAGTTTTTTGCCAAAGAGTTATTTGCGACACAATATTAAATACACCATAGGCCGTCCTTCTTTGCATGGACAGAAGTAGGTATCACATATGTTATTTGTTATATATAGTATGTGAAAGAAACACGATGGTGCAACGCTGTTGATGTTGACGTTTGTTGTATTGATCATCGCCCGTGTTCTTACGGGTTTTGTTGAAGATAAATAAATGTTATAGTCATGAAAGTGGCATTTGTCGTTCATCACAAATTTGAAAAAGTGGGTGGTGTGTGAAGAGCAACAGTTAACTGGGTGGAATGGATATTTGCAAAAACTGAAGTACTTATCGAAATAAACAGTGTAATTTTTTTTCAAGAGAATGAATGAAATATTTATATGTATATTATAAAAATAGCAAACCTTTTATTGAAATATTTTACTTACAAGTACAAATCTGCTTTATAACCTAAATTCACATTTCATGTTTGCATTTCCGAACAACAAAAGTAAAATGGTAAATACTTAAAATGTGCATTGTATCTCAACATGATATAAATCTTTCAAAATATATGCATATTTATAATGCGTTCTGGCTACAAACTGATGTAGCCGACGTAAATATGAAGTATAAAACATCCAATCCCTGCTGCAGTGGAAATTATACAGAAGAGATAGGGGGAAGTGTAACATACATATTCCTCCTTTTTAGAAACGGTCAAAATTGGGGAAATCATTTAGGGTCAACAGTTTCAAACATATACTGTGTCGCACCATATATGCAAATTAATATACATGCCAGAATGGGTTTGATATTTACCAATCCATTGTTACCATTGTGCTTCCAGTTCTCTCCTGCTGCCATCCCTATTGTATAGCCCAGCGTGTTTGGCCGTTAATCCCTTGCCACTTGGTACACACATTAAACTCTTGAGTAAACCCGTTAGTGCTCGTTATCACATTATGCCTAGTCTATTTAAGCTTGGGGTGGGGCAGGTAGGGCACTTTTTTATTTGGAACCGGTTCATCTTCATTTCGTTACACGTACAGGTGATAATGTCCACAATATTGCGCATGCAGCGCTAAAATATATCTCTGATCGATTTTACATCGGTGTGATGAGACACCGCTGTAAAATCTGAATGTTAAGCCAGACAGAAGATGAATTTGGTAATTGCGTTCTGGAACAAAAGAAAAGGTGCAAGATGTGACAGAAGTTATGCATTAACATCCACCTGTACGATTTCTCTCGGTTTTAGTTGTTAAAATTAAAGTAGGGCATTAAACAAAGTCTTCACTGGGAACGCAAAGTAAACTTTCAAGCATATATCAGATTCCGTGAGCAGAACGCCCTGAGCAGTCTCTGAAGAGGAGAGAACCTTTGATGATGACGATACCACAGCTATTATTGTAACTAAGATCCAACAACCACGATTTTCTAGGACAATGCCATTTAAATTTTAGTTATCATGTTTTAAATGTGTTAAACATTCCATTTTCACATTTTAACTTTATTCAAAAATAAGATAAATTAATTATACATGTTGCAACCCGTTTCCCCCTAGCCTCGCTCTTTCCACCAACCCATTACCCCTTTGCTGTCATTATAATTACATTAAAGATATTTGCTGAAATAACCTTTCACAAAGCTTCACAATGCGGGTGTGTTGGTTCAGATCTAGATTTAAGCCGCAGTGGGTAGAATTAAACTGTTGGATATTGTTCGTCCTTCTCAAATGTTAAAGGGAGTCACGTAAAATATTGTACAACTTAAGCTCTTTTGGAATTGTTGAAAAAGGATCAGTCTGAAGGGTCATTAACGTCTCTCTCGATCTTTGATTCTGGGGGTTGGCATTGTGTTCTCCCGTTATGAATATATTACTAGAAAAGGCTGCCCGTAGTGAATACAAAAACACGTTCTTTACAAATGGGCATTCTTAAAATAGTTTCAGTTTGAGGTTTTAATCACTGGTTTCAGTTTGATGATTCTGATGACGGCAAACTGGTCGTGTTATGTTTAAACAGTTCTAATTTATTGGAACAGCAACAGTTGGCATTTGATAAACACAGGATTCAGGATTGTTACAATGATACTTCAATTGCAATTTTATGCAGTTCTTAAGAATTAACTTAAATGCTCTTTACATATACTCTGGAATTAAAGCATTTTAGCTGCAAATCATTAATAATAAAAAGCATTATAATCATTATTATCTAAAAAGATGAATACCAATATAGATGATTCAAAACTCATCAATAAGGGAAGTGCAATCGTCTTGTAAACGCTCTTTCGATAGACGTCCTAGGAGCATTTAAGGATTCAGGTATAGACTCGATTGCTGAAAGTTGGTGCCTTGTTCTGGCTGAGAAAAACATTGGGCAAATTAATTCTAATCCATTTCTTTTCCCTTATTTCCGGCTCAAAATCTATTCGCGCCATTATCGGGTAGCATTACAAGGCCTACTGTAAATTGCAACATGAAATTATCTTTAGTAAAAAAAAATGCTCAATGGTAAGTCCAATCGGAAGCATCATTTTAGATAAAAGAAAATGTTTGTCATACAGTATATTTTATAACACGGCATTTTTATTGCTCTGTTTATTGCTCTGTTTATCTGCTCAAGTTTATAGGCATATTAAAATAGTGTATCTGATTAGTATTGTTAGCGACGCGATGAGTTATTGTTTTTGAAAAATTACATTTTACACCAGTTTAATTGTTTACAGTCTTTTACGGCTTAAAGATCCATGGCGACGTTCCCTCACAAAGTGATGTTTTGCGCTCACATAGTATGAGATTAAAAATCAGATTACCAACATTACACTGTTAAAAACGTACCCTTCAATTACACATTGCGCTTTTTAAATTTTGGTGATCCCAGGTGTTAAAATTTTTTATTAAAATCATGAAATGTGTTTACGTTTAAAAAACAACCTGGTAGATCGTTCTATACATTTAATACATAAAACGTAATATTGTTTTAGCCAATGATTTTATATTAAAAGTGGGATGTAGCGATGTGTAGCGAAAATTTTGTCTTTTTAACACAGCAGTACTAAAGAATAATCTTACAGAAGGAAGTCTTAACAGTATAGGCAAATATAGCTAAAGGTAATCACAAGACGGTTGCTTTTGTCCAATACAATTGGAGAGACAAAGTGAGATTGGCCAAAAACAATTCTTGGGCATCAGGACGTACAACAAAGCTTTAAAATATTCTAAATTTTATGTAATAACAAAAATAAAAGGGCAAAATAAGACAATAACAAAGTTAAGCTGTCTCAATGATAAAACTAAGCTTTGTCAAGGCTAGGCCAAGGCGATTATATTCTTATACTTTCAATGGTCTAGGGAACATTTACATGTCTGCTTTCACAACCAAGACCATGTGGCGCAACTAACGCAATCACTGCCTACACACACACACACACACACACACACACACACACACACGTACATGCACAAACACAGGCAAATACGCACTCATATGCACACTCCCACATCCAAAGAAAAAATCTGGCGTCCATATGCTTTACTCACTTTCACTATAATTACTGAGGCTAAAAAATAAATGTAATATTATCCGAGTTCGCCATCAAAATAGGAATGAAAATGCTGCCTTGCAAACTAATTTACAAACAGTGCGCATGTTTTTCACAGAGGGCATTCTTTTTCCGTGAAACTGGACGTTTCCTTGAACTATTTCCATGCCCTTTTTTAATTATTATTATTCTTATTTTATTTAAGGTGGCCCATTCTCTTGAGCCATCAAAATCGAAGTGCTTCCGTATTTTAAAACAAAACTAACTTCATCACTTCACCTCGCTGCAAGGACATGGGATATACAGTGCTTATTACAGAGTTTAAAAACCCCAACCACGTTAATCTATTAGACCTTATAATCCACGTTGAGATTGAGGCCTTTTATGCAATAACTTCAGTTTGGTAGCTTGAATAGATCGAAAAGTTGTTTTAGTATTATTATAAAATAACGATTTACGATACTTGCAACGTTTCAGTGTCAACCTTAACACCTTTTTGTCTACACCTACGTCACTAGGTGGCGTTCGTGTCGCCAGTGGCGTACCTTAAATCGTGAAACCCCCTTTACACTGGACAGCGTCCTTTCTGCGTCCTTTGTACGACCAGGGAATTATATCCGATATAATTCCCTGGTGCGACCAAGAAACTGGCATGGCTATGGTCGTAAAAAAAAAAAGAGTCACAAGTATCGCTTTGGTTGCAAAATGAATGCTCTATGATAGGACAGCTACCGGTACGTAGCGTGTATTTTTTTTAATTTATTTTTTTATTTATTTATTTTTTTTTTTTTTTTTTTGTACTCTCAAACGGAGCCGTAATACGGGACGCAGATTTGACGCCGTACAGTGTAGAGGGTACTTTAGTTTATGTAATAACTACTCGCTTCTTCACGGAGGTGAAGGTAAAAAGTTCTAAACGCACAATGACACCGCTTTTCAGGGCCGTAGGCTAAAAAAAGGTTTGGTGGTGACAGCTGTTGAAAGCCTGCATTACATGCCGCCGGATGATTGCGCACTGTGGTATTTATATAGACGCTGACTGGAAGAAATGTAAGAGATTTTTGGTGGAATGGAAGAAAGAGACAAAAAAAACTTTTCACCCCTTCTCCCGCAGCCAACGGTCTTGATATAGGTTGATACAGTCGTCAGGGAAAAGCAAGGCTGAAGGCAAATCAGGATGGAATACTTCAGTTTTCGCATATTTTATTCTCATCATAACAGGTTTTGTAAATTTCAGGATTTTCGTTTGTTACTTTTTGCATTATAAATATAACATCAAATAAACGTTTTACGTTACTAAAACCCCAAAAACCAAACAATATCAGAGAAACTCTAACAGTTCAACATACTTTAAAGCAAAACAACTACTTTGATAACTTCCCTAACATATTGAATCTCTGAGATATTTTACAAAAAAGGAGTGCCAACTTAATAAATCATTTTCACAGACAGCGTGAATTATTGCAAACTTTGCCCTTGATTCAATAACCTTTTCTCTATGATCCTTTGGTATTTAAACATCTTTCAGCAGTCTATAACTTAACAGATTGAAACATCTTGACGAAATCTTCCTTATCCTGAGATCTTGCTTTCTCGTAAAACAATTTTCCAGCACTATCTTTGACACTGACGTCAGCACCTTTGTCAATTAACAATCTTACCACTTCTTTGTGCCCCTGTTGGGCGGCAAGGTGAAGCCCCGTGCGTCCGATCTTATTTTGGAGGTTTAGATTTGCTCCTTTCTTGAGAAGTGCATCGATGATAGCAACGTTCCCATGGTGACAGGCGGCGTGGAGACTGCTCCAACCGTCGGCTTTCGTGAAATGAACATCTGCACCAGCCGCCAACAGCACTTCAGCCACGTGCGCGTGGTTCTTTTGAACTGCCACATAGAGGGCGGTCACACCGCTCTTGGACGGCAGGTTGACTTTGGCTCCCCCTGCCAAGAGGGCCTGAACAGCAGATTTATGACCATTTTCTGCGGCGGCAAATAAACTGCTGGCTCCGCTAGAAGACATGGTCGAGTTGGGGTCAACCCCAGTTGCCAGGAGGGCCTCCACAACGCCCCCGTGGCCATTCTGGGACGCTATGAATAAGCAAGTCGGCCCCTGCGTCTTGTGGTAGAAAGGATCTGCAGGTAAGAGTGCCTTGACCACGTCTGTGTGCCCGTTCTGGGAGGCTACATATAAACTGCATGCCCCGTGCTTGCTCCCCACGGTGACATCGGCCCCAGCTTTAAGAAGTATCTCCACCACCTTCGTGTGCCCTTCTTGTGAGGCAATCCACAAACTGCTGATACCTGCAATAAATGATTGGGGAAAACACGATATACAGAATTTTTTCTCCAGGTTTCACTTATTGTTAACTGAAAGTCATTGTTCTGAATTTATCTTTCTCGATGAAACTTTTGAGAGAGAGAGAGAGAGAGAGAGAGAGATTTAAAATCCCTAGGAAAGGATCGACAGGGTTTCAAACTATTTTTTATTTAAAAGACATAATGACGCAAAATATCTTTATCGGCATAATTTCAAAAATGACTTTGTAACTCAATTACCTATGAACACCTCTTACCATTTGCATTCACTGCATTTATATCGGCACCATTCTTCAGCAGTTCCCCAACAACGCCATCATGTCCCTCCTGAGCCGCAATCCACAGGCAAGAAGCACCGTCATCACGCCGACCATTTACGTCAGCACTTGCCTTCATCAGTGACGTCACAACGGCCACGTGACCGTGCTGGCACGCGATCCACAGGCAACTTGCACCGCTTTTATTGGCCAGGTTGCAGTTAGCCCCCGCAGCAATGAGAGTGTCGACGATGTCCAAGTGACCCTGTTCCGAAGCCTTCCACAGAGCGGAGATACCATTGCTCTTTTGACGGTTTACTCTTGCACCTACATGTACAAGAAAATGTGTTTTAAGAAAACAACATGCGTGTTCATATCAAATAGAACGGAATTAATTATTTCGAGAAAACTGAGGTAACTTAATTAATTATTTCAATAAAATCGAGATAGCAGACTTTGTAAAGTGGCCTTCATTTATCCAAATTTTGATGAAGAATTTCTAAATTTCTACGATGATGCAACAAAAAAACTTTTTCGGCCAACTTGTGCTTTTACTATAACTCTTATGATCCGAACCATTTTTTTTTTTTTTAGATACACCTTATTTCAACTCATACAGTAATATCACATCACTAGGATTGCATTAGTTTTGTGTGGATAACATAGACGTACAGATGCCAAGACTACCTCGGGACAGTTTTTAAACTCACCAGCCGCCAGCAGCTCCTTTACAACGCCCAGGTGACCTTCCGCAGATGCAACCATTAAGGGCGTCCACTGATACCCATCCGTGGCGTCCACGTCAACGCCATGCTTCAGAAATTTAGTGACAAACTGGAGGGCGCCCTTCTTGGCGGCGTGGACAATGGGACAGAACCCATCTTTCGTTGGCTGACCACCGATCTCCGGGAACTCTTTGTATTTGTCCACCAGAACAGCGATGTGTTGATGGTTGTTGTTTTGTATGGAAGACAGGAGGGTTTCGCGAACAGTGTCCAGGTCTTCCGTCATTTTTGTCCTGTCATTTGGGCCTGCAGTGGGAAGTGAAAGAATGTACGAAATAACGAGCGAATAAAGCAAAAAAAAACAAAACAATAAATGCATGAATGAATGAATAATAGAAACGAACGAAGAACGAAAGCAAGAATGAAAGAAAGAAAGAAAAAAAGAAAGAAAGAAATACGGTCTTGACCAAACTGAAAAGTAGGTATTTATTATGTGATAAATCAATTAATCACCTGACAAGTCGACTTTTATGATTAATAACGCCAACATATCATTAAATATATATATTTTACCACATATGCTGATTAATAGGTACATCAAAAATACACATAACAGAACTTGGTCAGCAGATAGTGGCATTTAAAAGAGTATGAGAACGCCTCTCTCGCGGATTGTTTGGCATAGACTGACATATACCTGCTGTGCAATTAATTTTCAATTTATCTCAATACAATTAATACTTTCCTCGCGATAACCCGGACATTGCCTTAACACCTTCAGTATTACCATGTGGACGCAGACAGAGTCTCTGTGACGTTAATAACTATATAGGTATAGTAGAATACAAAAAAGTGGTGATTATACGTTGGAAACAAGAGGCGTGTAAATCTGTTGGACTGATGCATTCAGCATTCAGAGTCCCCGCGGAGTTGGATCGATCTCCGTAGACCGATAATTTATATAGAAATGAGCCCTTAGAAACTAACATCTCTGCGCCTGATGCGCTGTCTATCCGAAAAAGAGACGCCTCCACACAATACGAGTATGCAACAGTTGACAACCATAGTACAATGAAGGTATCATTTTTCCAACCAAAAGGTGAAATATAGTCTTAAAAAGTCAGACATGTAATATTAGTCACAGAGACATATAAAATAAAATCATGACTAGACGAAAGAGATATTAAAAAGGCGAGGTCGTAGGTGAGGTACAGTACTATAGCGTAACGTTGACGTGATTTTTGGATCAAAAAGGCTCTAAAAGCGGAATCAGAGGCGACATATTACACCAACGCTTGAAGTAATAGTCATTCCAACATTACAGCTATCTCTCCATGACACCATATACACCCTTATCATCATAGCCATGTTTACTGAAGCTCGAGGGAGTTACGATGTAGGTCTGTATTACCTGAGCGGCAGCACATTGGCCCCACCCAAGAGACATACATGTAACCCCCCTCCTCGCGCCAACGGGGTCCTGCTTCCAGCCTCATTGAGTCATCTTTAATAGCTGTACATTAAAGTATAAGAAAAATTCCCCTTTACCCCCTCCACCCCCCCCCCCCCCCCAAGCACACACACTTCCAGTACACACGTACAAATACCCATTATCAAGTAAATGAGTATAATATTGATAAACGCTGATTACATATTCACTCACGAACTTTACAGCAGTGGAAAACTGAGGAGTTATAATCGATCTGTAAAAAATTACATGTTGTGGTATACAGTGTCACCTCGCACCAACCCCACCCGTGTTACATCTGCCGTAGACAGACCACCCCTATCAACTACGACTTAATAATCTCTCTCTCTTTCTCTCTCTCTCTCTCTCTCATTTCACCCTAGTTTTGTTACCTGGTCAGCGAAGACGTTCTCCACTCTTTAACATCAGCCCAAGTTGTGAAATACGTGCAGGTGTATGGCTGGCACACACGGACGTTAAGGGATTAACAGCAAGGTGCCGATCAATATTTAGTGCGTGTGTCAGGCCAAGCAGTTTCTGCTGCCTTTGTATTGACTCAATAGCTGGACAATTTGTGTATGAAAAGCCTTTACATAGTGACGCATACCGTATGCGAGGACAATCGTGTCGGTGTGTGAAAAGGAAATGTAGACCTAGAAGAACCAGGCATATATATATATATATATATGCCTAGAAGAACCAGGCATATATATATATATACGTATACCTTACGGGAAAAGAGGAAGAAATAGGTAAATTCATCACATCTTCGGGACAACGCACAGAAAATTTTAATAAAATCTGTTTTGCTCTGTCTACGGGTAGTTCACGTTTTAATGCAAACCATGTTATGTAAATTGCTGAGCGTTGTGGTAAATACATGGAGAGGGGCTAAGGTAGAGGGGAAGTGCGGGGGGGGCATTCAAGCGCCTAATGGTACTCAGAGCACTCTGCTAAAACGTTTTAATAAATAAAAAAAAAGAATTTAGGCGCGGTCTGAGTACATCATCCAGAATTTGGAATTTTCAGCTTATGGAAAAAAGGAGGAAAGGAATATACACGTACGCGTCTGTTTTCTCAAATTCACACGCTCCCTACTGGGCTGATATCAAATATTCATTCAACATTGTGGGTTTCGCATGTCGCGACTATATAAGAGACGCAATACGCAATAAATAAGAGATAATCATGTAATTAAAAATATCCGAACAATGTGAACGATAATAAATCGCTAGACGATATATGTATTCATTAGTAAGGGTTGGCCAGCATTACATAGTCTAACATGCGATCTTTTTTATTTATTCTATTGATTATTTATTTAATTTTTATTTATTTTTTTTTAAATCTTATTATAATTGATTAAATGGCATAAATATGACTTTGAACACAAACCATTTTTGGCAACTGTTCAGACACAGTGGCGTTGAGTATTTCGTGTATACAGATCACAAATAGGTCTACTGGTCACGCTTGAACAGCGGTATGACCACTGCTTACAGCGAGGTCCATTTCATATTGCCCGCGTGACAAGTTTTTCGACCCAGATCGCGATCAGAGAGTGGTAAGGCAGCCGCCTCTCCTGGGGGAGGGAGGGATCTTCTGGGCCCAGACCTATCAATTAGATTAAAGTAGGAAAGAAATTGCAGACGAGACGAGTTATAGATAAACAAAACAAAAATTAAATGCCACATGTACACGTAATCTGCTGAAATAAACTGTAGCGCACTTACAGGGAAGGCTCCAAGTCCTTGGGCCTGTACACGCAAATTTCATCGGTTTCTTGTACAGACTCCGCTGGTTGAATGGTTGGCATGTTGGCGAATACATCCTGCTAAAGCTTCTTCTTTTTATTATACTGACTGGTGATCTTTTTTCTTGTTCCCCTAAGTGATCCACAGATGTCCACAGAAACCCTTGGAGATGACGTCAGTCAGCCTGGGACAGGGGAGTGCTACTTCAAAATCTCCGCCGACACAATTGCTGCCAGTCTCATCTATCGCATTACAGGAACATCATTTACTGCGGGATTATCGTTTTAGCCGCGGAGTTGTCCCGCGAAGCATGAAAACAAATAGCATTGTTGATCATTTTACGATTAAAGCGAGCGTCTTTGTATAGCATCAAAAGCATCAGAAGGGTTCTTTTACAACACAAGAAAACACAGAAATGCCGGAAATTAAGATACAACATGTAGTTTCGTGTAGCAGTGAGGATAAAGTAAGTAGGAAATCTCTTCAGTGATTTATCTAATCGCAGCCCAGTTTTAGTCTAAGGCCTCATTCCCAATGACACTCCTCCTCCTGGCGTTGAGTAGAAATCAGAAAAAAACTTGTAATTATACGAATACGTTGGAAACAATTGCATAAGCATTCAGCCAAAGTCTCCGCGGAGTTGGATTGAACGACAATTTCATTGGAAATGAGACCTTAAAGTCCTGAGTGTATATAGTTATGCCTTGTATCACCCTAGCTACATGTACCAGTATTGGTGAGTGCTACTAGACAGAGGCAAGGGCAGTCTCAGTCAAATGATTACTCTGTGGACAGTTAATTTGTAAATGCATTGTGATTAAGTGCCCTGATTGACGTCTGAGTACCACACTTGCCCAGTGAAACATTTACCTGAATGATTTACCCCCTCTCCACCCCCTATATACCCCCAAGCAGACAAGTCTGTGATGACTACACTTATAACATCAAAAATATGTGCAAGTATTCATATTTGTCCTGTGTTCCAACTTAAATAATATATTAGTTATTATAATATTTGATTGCTTTTAGAACAACCCGGCAGAGAACCTGTTAAAACCTGAGGGCAAGGCCAAGTGGAAAAGTGCAGCCTCAGGTGAAAAGCAAGTGTCTGTGGTTCTACAGGTAAAGCAAGATGTGATTACTGAGCTTTACTATCTTAACAGAACTATATCAAGCCAATACAGTGAATCAATCTGATGTCTCACACATTGCAGTTAAAATTGAGGTTAACTTACAAGCTGTGAGATTGGCTCTTATGGTCATTTACTTTAATCACACAGTGTGACAATAGGTCATGATGTAAGCCATCTGGGTTTGACTGTACTCAGTACTAGTAAATTCAATCCAAAGTTTATTAAAAAAAGACAGATGATTGTTGTATTATACAGTATTTCTTTCTGCTCTTTTTCCCCAATTTTTTTGGAGAAATCCGGCCAAGATTACTACTGGCAGTCTGAGAGTAACAGCTAACATCAGATGTATGCTGCATTATTAAATGCTTATTTTACCATATTTCTAGTTTGAGAAATCTAGTCAAGTTCACCAGATAGATATCGGCAACGAGGGAGCAGCTTTCATTGAGGTCTTGGTGGGCAAGTCCACACAGACATCTGACCAGGATTACCAGGTGATCACTGATTGGAATGTTCTGATTTTAAGGATTTATGACTTAACAAATACAGTATCCGTAAAATTCACAATTTTACCCATTTAAAAGATGTACTCATTACCATACTTCTACTTCATGCCATGGTCAATTTAAACCAAATTGTTAACATGTATTAAGTTGGCCAAAAACAAGTTATTTATTTTACTTTTTTCCTATCATGAAAGATCTTAAAATAATCCTTATGAAAAAGTTAAAGATACGTCAAACTTTCTGTGGTTAAGTAAATGAGATTTTAGAAATCATTAGATTTGTCTATTTTTCCCATTCAGAACATCTGATCCCCTACAATTGATATTTTGCTATAATTTCATGTTCTATAACAATAAGGCAATGCACTCTCCTAAACTTAACTTTGGGGAGATATAGCAGTTAACAGTCTTTTTCCTTTTTGAACGAACCAAGGTCCTTGCTGTGAGAATGTAAAGATCAAATAAGTAACTTGTATTATTATGATTATTATTATTATTAATTTCAAATTTTTTAATTATTTTTTTGTGTTTGCAGGTGCTCCTGGTGGCCTCAAGTTTCCTCAGTCCTATAGAGAGTAGAAATGGCACCAACATGAACAGAGTGAGGATCTTCACTGCAGATAAGCTGTCCAAGGCAGTGGTGGAACAGAAGTGGGACAGGGTCAAGGTCGTCTGTACACAGCCTTTCAATAAGGTATGGTGATTACTTAATAAATTTGGAAAAAAATGAATTTGACTTCGTGACATTTTCCAAAATAATGTTTCTTAGTAAACTGCATTAAAATGTTGATTCAGAAGTTCTTAAAAGTAAGTTGGCCTCATGTCAGAAATTACTTTTTATGGAAAGGTAAAAATGATTTAACTTGTAAAGGAGCAATACTGGAAGTGATGATATATCATTTATGGTATAAAAAAACACTTGTTTGTTTATGGAACATGACACAGAGCTCAAAATTTACTCTAAATTGTTTTATTTGAAAGTTTCCTTGTTATTGCTGCTGTTCTTCAAAAATCAAAGAATGAATTAAAATTGAAATATAATTGATGAATTGATGACAAAAAATAAACAATTTGTGAATTTGAAAATTCAACAACAGAATGAGGCAAAAAAGTAAGACACTGGATTATTTGGATTTTTTTCAGGATTTATATTTACTTTAAAACCCCTTAAAATTTCATACAGAGCTTGGTGTAATTTACTGACTGATTTACTAAAATATGTATTAGAGACTGCTGTGTGTGACAGTTACAAGTATTTTTATTATTTCAGAATATACCTTATGGTCTGTCATTTATCAAGTTCCATTCTCCACCAGACAAAACATCACAAAATGCAACAAATGAGGTATGTGAATTCTATAGAGTTAAAATTTATCCTATAGTTATAATCTATTGTCTTCTTCTGTGATAGACGAAATTAATTTTAACCTTTAATCAGTGCAATTGCTCTGTAACATTGTAACTCATGGACTTTCATATATTAACTTAAAGTCTATTAACAAATCTAATTTTCAGATATAACCTCTGTTATTTAGTGTCTTTTTCTTAAATGGCAATACATTGTCTCATCCAAATCACCATTATAATCATTACTATGCTTGATGTTGGGTCTCCATTATATGAGTCAATTAAATCAACATTCTCAATTCTTGGCATTTTATTTATAAAAAGTAGAAATTGGACATTTTACCAAGACCATAGGCATAACATTTGACTGTTTTTGGGTATGCCCATGTCATTTGTTAATGATGCACATTAGTAAAAATAACATTGTCTACATCTCACATGTGTATTTTATTTGTTTTCAAATCTAAAAAGCTACTTACAATTCACTGTAACAGTCTGTGACATAAACACTGGTTCCACACAAAATGCCAGCACATCATAGCCGGCCCAATAAACTGAACAAATTTGATTTCTTCAGTTACTGGCCACTGCTTCTGCTTATGATCAATAGATTTTTAGATCCTGTTTCCAAAGGGATCAGTAGGATGAAATTTTTTAATTATTTTTTTCACAAACTGCTGTTATTTATCCATTTTAGGGTGGCTTGAAACTTGGTGCCTTCTCTCTGAAGACCACAGATGAGGATCAGTCGGTGTCAACTGGCAGTCTCTTTGCCAGCAGGAAACAAGAGCCAGAGCCACTCACTGGTATGTACAGGGCAAAGCTATATAACTGAGAATTTTACATGTTTGTAATTTAAGGCACAGTTACACTCCATTTGTGACATCCCAATTTAGTGCAGTACAGACCACAGACAGTTCCAGGGTTTTGCTCCGCAAATCTGTTCCATATAAGACTATTAAGTCTTGTTCCTTAGACCCTAATTTGATAGAGGGAGGCAAGACCTTTTGATTAAAAAGTCATTATAATTGTTTTTTGTGCATGACACTACTACTATTTATGACAGTCTATTGCAAGTGAGTGTTGTTTATTGCCACTAGGTGCCGCTGCAGTCAGGGCGGCCTCCAAACTCTCTTCAGAGCAGTTAGAAAGCAGAGAAAAAGAGAAGAATGGACAAACTGTGGTAAACATATAATTGTTTCTGTGAAAATGATTTATGAATTAAACATATGATAAGTTTTATAATAGAGAATCTGTTAATGTTGCTTGTTGACAGTGGTCATTGGAATTTAACTGAAAACTATCATTAGTGTAGTTGTTTTCTACACCTTAACGCGGTACATAGCATTAGATTTTGAAAAATGGTAAGACTGCTATCCACTAAATGCAGGGCCAACTGCCACTTGGTGAGCACAAAATGCACTGCTGCCATCTATGACTATTTATTTTAGACCCCAGCTAAGAGAAAACATGAAGACTCTCACAGTGATAAACCTTCAGTACCAACGAAAAAACCTGTTGTGAAAAAACCTGAGGCAGCAACATCAAGGCGAAGAAATTCAGACAGTGACACACCACCACCACCAAAGAAGAAGAAAAGTACTTTGTTTTAACTTGTTTGGTGAATAGGCATGAGACTTATGTTTTGGTTTTATTTTCCTAGTTCATTTCCACAAATAACCATTCTTCCTTGCAACTACAAATGTTTATAGTGCATAAAATGTTGTGAAAAAGAGTAACTTGTAGCAGGGATACTTGAAAGCATAAATAAGTTTCTTATGCTTGGAGTATGTTAAAAGTTTGGGCATTAAAGATATTTGTGTGAAGTTTCATGGAAATTATAACTGATACATTTTGTAGCTTGTTAATAGTACAAGAATTGTTTTCCTCCTAATCAGCCCAACCTGCTGCTGTGAAAAAGCCCAAGCCATTCAGAGAGTTGATGAAGGGTGTGGTATTTGTGATGAGTGGCTATCAGAACCCCCAGCGAGGAGAACTCCGGGATAAAGCCATAGAGATGGGGGCCCAGTACAGACCAGACTGGGGGAGGGGGTGTACACACTTAATGTAAGTACCAAACTGGAGGAGGGAGTAAGCACACCTCATGTAAATACCAGAGAGGAAGAGGGGGGGGGTTACATTCAAAATGTGAGTTTGTGAGTCATTGTAAGTAAAATGGTTAACTGGCTAAGATTCTCGCAAGAATCTGCTTAAAATACCAATTCTCTTGAAGTCTTTATTAAACAAAGTCCTGGAGTTCTGGTTATAGCACACTGTTCTTGGTTCTAATGGGTCAGTTATCAACACAGCCCATGTCACTCAAACTCTTTCACGTTGAATATATTTTTGGTTTTGTACTTCAGATGTGCTTTTTCCAATACTCCAAAATTCCAGCAGGTGGATGGGAAGGGCTGTATTGTCAGTCACCAGTGGATCAAGGACAGTCACAGGAATAAGAAACTGATGAACTGGAAAGAGTATGTATTCCCTCTCTTGTCATTATATTTTTAATATAATTAATATGATTTATTAATATAATTTTTAAAAAGAAAAAAATTGAAAACTGTCTCATTTCATCCTGGGTATTTGTCATATATGCATTTATGGTTTAATTCAAAAGAATCCAAGCCAGAAATGCACAAATGACAACTACCCTGGAATCTTTTTAACTCCAACATCTTGATGTCTGTCTGGTAACTTTATTTTGTACCAATGATGCCTCATGTTTTTCACTAAAACATGGCTGTTCTCTGCCTTATGTTCTATGCTCTCTTTTCCTAAGTAAGGTTTCTTATTCTTGTGTACTCCAGCTATAAAGTGAGAGGGTCCAAAACTCCCCCTGGACTTCAAGATGCAGGGAGCTCTGGATCAGAATACTCCCCAAGTGAGGAGGAGGAGGAAGATGTTGAGGAGGAGGACGAATGGGAACCTAAGAAAAAAACAAAACCACAACCTAAGCAGGTCACACCAAAGACAACCCAATCTAAGAAGAAAAACGACAAGGAAGAGGAAGAAGATGAGGAAGAGGAGGAGGAATGGGATCCAAAAAAGAGGACAAAAGCTCCATCCAAGAAGGAGAGTCCAAGGAAGCCAAGCCCCGTGAAAGATAGTAAACAAAATGAAGAGGAGGAAGATGAGGATGAGGAGTGGGATCCAAAGAAAAGATCAAAACCTCAGCCTAAGAAGGTGGAAGGTAATGAAAAATGTCATGGAAAATATATATTGTGATCTGATAAGAGGTCTTCTACATGATTTATGCCTTGTTTAATGTATATGTGTGTCTTGCATCCCATTTATGGTCATCATTGAGGCTTTTTAATTTGCTTTTCACTTTACTTGCTTTATCTTTATCTGGCTGTTTTAAATTTTAGTAATATTGTGTTACAATATAGTGTCAGAAAGTTTGATTATTTAGATAATAAATATAAATAGATAAGTTATGAAAATAATATTTTAAGGAGCAATGAAATTTATGAAATGTGTTATATAAGAAAATTTTATTATTATAAGTATTATAATTGTAAGTCATTATATTATTCACTAGCCTCCCCAAAGAAGAAGATCCCTGATCCCAGCCCAGTGAAACCTACCGCCTCCCCCAAACATTCCAATGACAGTGGAGATGACACTGACGCCTATGATGCTGCCACTGACGTTGGCTCCGATTCTGAAGATACGGAAGATGAAATAAGAAGGTGAAATATTTTATTGCATAGGTCATTACACACAGAAGAAATTATTTGATTGTTTTTTGAATAAGTGTATCATTGAGTTGGCAAACTTGATTTCTAAATGGTATGAAGACTTGAACACCTATGAATTTTTGTTGCATGCAGTGCATTCTGGGTTAACATTAGTAGCTAAACTATTCACCAAATTAAAAAAGAATCTTGTCTAAAGACATGCTTAAGACACTGTCTCGTAAGTAAGTTACACTTTATTATTATTACTGTAATAATAACTGTTATTAATATTATTGTTATTACTGTTTGTAACCAAATGCACCACAGAAATAGCGACTGTACAAATGATTTTTTTCCTGTGGTAGAATAAAAGAGGAACAGTTGAGAGACAAAGGAGAAGGAAAGTCTTCTAGTAAAGATGGTGGCTCAGGGGACTTGCCTGACCTGCCTGATTTCTTCTCTGGAAAACATTTCTTTTTGTATGGAGACTTCTCTGCTACTGAAAGAAGGACAATATTCAGATACATAACAGCATTTGATGGGTAGGTGGTAGTAGTGATGGTAGTGTTGGTGGTGATGGAGATTGTAAAGCAGCTAAGAATTTTAAGACTTAGAACTATAAAAATACACATTTTCTATTTATTTGTAAATTTAAAGATTATTGTGTGAATATTCAGAATATTTAGTGCACCAATTTAACCAAGCATTCATGTGGTCCTATTTTATAATATTTATATTGTTTTAATGATTTTATATATGATTTAAGATATTGTGTTGGAGTAAACCACAGTTTCAAGTTAGGCAAGTTTCATTAAGTTTCAGCTTATACCAAAGCAAAAATCCATTCTACAAGCTTTGTTTTAAAATCGAAACCGTTGTATACGGTGACAAGTTATGTGAAATCCACTGCTTATCAAACTTTTCTCTTCAGAGAATTGGAAGATTACATGGATGACAAGGTGACCTTTGTGATCACAAACTCCGACTGGGATGATAAATTTGACCAGGTCAGTTAATACTCTGTGGTCGGGTAAGAAAACAAACCTCATGGTGTTACAGATTATGACACAAATTGTCCCATGTAGATAAATTGACATAGATGATCTGTTGATGTTAGTATTTCTTTATGTCAAATAAGTTCATCTCTATGGTAAGCTGTCAAAATATTTATATTTCTTTTTTTTTTTTTTTTCGTGAAAATAAAACTTTTTCTCAGGAAATGTGTCATTATGACCAGTGTAGCTGGAAAATTCACACAGGCATAACTATAAGAAACAATGACATCAACAACAATGACATCAGCAAGAAGGTTTGATATCACTACGCTTTTCATTTCAGTGATTTTTCTCCATTGTAAAAGAGATACCTGTGTTAATGTTTCTCTGACCAAATATACATTTTTTTTTCTGTTATAGGCATTATCGGAAAACACCAATTTGATCTTTGTGAGGCCAAAGTGGATCTTCGCCTGTCACGATAAGAACAAGCTGTTGCCATATCAACCGTACATTGTGGTTCCTGCATCATGAAAACTCTCATGGCGAGAGTAGGGATTTGCAATATTAACAGATCTTAGTACTGGCTGTTGCCATATCCACCGTACATTCTGGTTCCTAGGTCATGAAAAATGTCATGGCGAGACCAGCGTTATGCAACGTTAACAGATCTTAATACTGGCCCGATTCCAGAGTAAATTTGTTATGTTACTGGTCATGGTATTACTCTCTACCAGGGCTGCAGAGAAATTTTTTCACTAGATTTGCAAAAATATTCTTCTGGCTGCTTCTGTGGACATTGCTATCCAGTCCAGCAAGAATATATGAACAGAATTTCAGAAATTATGCTGGGATGAAAGCAGTCTGATGAAAAGAGAATTATGTGAAAGAAACGCGGGCTGTGAATTCAATGTTCTATCCTCCTGTAGGAAATGGTCAAAAGTATAAAGATGATTGAAAATATTTTTTTTTTTTCTAAAGAACCCTGCCACATAGACAATTAAAGAAAAGGGTAAAAGCCCATTGCTTACAAGATGTTTTACAAAAAATAATTATGAACTATTGTTTTTATAATGATAACTTTTTTATGTAGAAATGGTGGACACCATTGTGTAGTTACATCTCTTATTGTACTTTTTATAGAGTCTGTTTAATATTTGTCACAATATTGAAAATTTAAAAATAAGAGAAATGATAACCTCAACCATTTGTAAACTTTGGAACATCCTGATAATTTCGTTCTGCGTGTAATGGATTCACTGTGGTGAAGAGAAACATATCTGGTAAATACCAATGTCGTTATTATAAACACTTAGCCAAATGCTATCGACCATAATCTGTCATGAGTTAAGTCAGCGTTCCAGCAAGGTGACGTCCACTCTACACAGCCCTCTTCCAACTCTGTGGGTGCAGCAGACGACCCTGTTCATTCCGAGGAAAATACTACGGTCACCCTCATTGGCCATTCCATCAAAAAGGTAGTCACGAGGAATCACGGTGGTTCCCTGAAAGAAATAAGTGATCATTTTGCTAAAAACCATTCAAATTTCTCGACATTGCGTCCGTTTGTCGACCTGCAGTCAGTCCACAAAATTGAAGTGTTTCTTGTATTAGCCAAAATGACGTTTCTTTGAAATTAATTAATCGTCGAATTGTTTGGCATATTACCGTACCCACCAAATTAACCGAGGATGGTCTGATGCTTACCTTGGTACCTGCGTGATTATCCCACGTCACCTTTGACCGTTCTACAGTCAGGGACACCACCCCGTTGGGCTGTATAAACCCCTTGATGGCCTGGTGAAGCAGGCTGTTTCCCGGCGCGGCGTACAGACCACGCCCTTGCTCCGGACTGAAGCTCATGTAGACGTACAGGCCGGAATCCACAACTTGGACATCTGAGCCAACACCACCTAGTCGTTAATGTGGGGAAAAAATCTTTACTTTATTTCTAATTTAAATGTACAAATCCAAATCATAACTTGGTGTCTCTTTTTATTTTATGAGAATGTTACTGATCCATAATTATTCTGTATATATCTAGACGTGAGCTTTTTCGGCGGAAACGCAGAATTCCGCGTTTTTTTTTTTCAATTCTGATGATTCCTGAGATTCGTCTTGTCTGAGATTCGATAAATGTTCAGGCTTTTTTTTTTTAACCTGGGCTCATGTCTGTATATCACTCGAATTCCTAGGACAGTCAGTGGTGTCTTACCAAAGCCGTTGCTCCCGTGGTCTTCGGATACTGTAAACACATGACCTCGCGCTTGCTTGTTAAAATACATGACGAAACGAACTTTGGTGTAGTTCGTTCCCTTAAAATTGACCTGGATTTTAGAAAAATAATGAGAAGAAACAGATCATCTAAAAAAAAAAAAAACAAGTCAATGTCTTAACATGTCTTAAGAATTGAAAGCGTTTTTTAACTCCATGAACAGTTTTCAACATCACTGTTCACAGATCTAATAAATCCATTTCTTCAACTGAAGATCATTAAATTGCATTATGAACTTTTTTTTGCCTGTGAATGTTTCCCCTTACCTGTAATACCGCTGTGTAACTACAAGAGGTATTGTACAGTCTCCGTAAGGGATGATAAAGGACCACGTGAGCATCAGTGCTGTTGAAGTTGCCTTTATTTAGATCAACAGATGCGGTCGCAGGACCTTAAAATGTCAATTAATTAAGTCGCGAGAAAAAAGATAATCATATACTAACAGTGCTCTTAAGCGAATTTTGTTTTTAAACGTTGTTGACCTTGATATTTGACCATTGAACCCTTTCTATATAACTATTCTCCGGAATTTAACTTTAAGTGCCCAACGAGTACTAATTTTTTTACCCTGCAAGTTTCCATTTTTAGAAATGTCAAAATGTTTTTTTTAACTGACCAAGTGAAGAACATAACAATATATTATTGTAAGTAAGTTAAATTAATGCGAGACATTTAAAAATTATGAAACAATGGACCTATTTTCAAAAAAAAAAAATATTGATCATTGCGTTAATTTTAAAAGTCCATACGAATATTCACTAAAGTAAATACTAAATTTGGAGAAATTTTGAAGGCACAGAATGATCGTTGGACCTTTTTAGAGCAAAAATTCAATTTACATTGGAAAATTCAACACTTTTTCCTGATTCACCAATCTAGGCCACACAGAGGCTAAAATTTTTCGCGAGTGACGATGAAATATAGAAATTAAGAATTCGAAGATTAGTTTACAGATCTTAATTTTTTTTCGACAATTTTGGATGGGGTGTACCTTGGTGGCAGTGTAAAAATTGCTGAAATTTCAAGGATTTTTTTATATAGAGGTGTATGCCATTTTTATTTTATCTTGATTCTAGATCTATGACATCTGTTTGAGTCATATAGCTCACCTGTTGAGTTCAGCCTTTCTCCATGATAGACAGACCACGTGTCGGTGTCGGGTTGGCTGTGCTCTAGAAGAAATTGGTTTACAAGGGATGGTATATATACTTTAAAAGAGTAAGTTACATATGTGATAATGTATGTTTTGAAAAATATTATATACTATCAAGTTGTCTGGCGTTTTTCCTGAGATAGGTTTCTGGAGCCTGCATTTAATGCACAGCAGCTTATGTTATAAGAATGTCTTTGATATCCCCGTTTTGGTTAGAAATCATTTTTGAGGATGTGTGAGAAGTTTACTTGGGAGTATTAAAGCTCATTAAACATGGCATGGCTGATTCTGTGTCTGCTTATTATTATTATCTATTACCAATATGTTTAAACACTATGAATACCTTACAAATCAATGTCGGTGAAAATACGAGAGAAATAGAGGGGTGGACAGGCAAATCTTATTATCTGCCAAAAAAACGATGCAAATAAAAATGCAAAAGCAAAGCTTGTGGCGACAGAAAATGTTTTAAAAACCAACCTTTATCAACCAATGAAACCGTTCGAAGTGAATTAAAAAGCACAATGACAGTGCAGACTATGACCCCACCAAGAAATCCAGTCCCGCCAAAAATCACCATGATTCCGACGTCATCGTATTTAGATCGAATTCTTGAAAGCCGGGCTCTTCTTTTTCCGCTCACGTCCATTGTGATGTAATATTAGTATAAACCACTTAGCTTAACAGCCCAATATATAACACAATGTTACGACACGTGCGTCTGTCACGGCCAATTGATTATAGGTTAAATTTTTAACAATATGAAGATCATGGAAGCTATCTACTATGTTCCCTATAGTATTTGAAGCTCCAAGTTGTGAATGAATTTTTCTGAGAGTTGAAATGCGCTATTCATAGTTGCACATAAAGTGCTCTCATGCGTGAAACTTTTTTTTTTCGTTTCAAAATAGAGACATTATTTTAATAATATCTCTATCAGCAAGGTGTTGTGACCTAAAGTAATTGGATTTTCATCTGTTATTCTAGGTCGATTCATAAGGCAGTGCAAGCTAATCTCCAAGAAGAGACCTCGTTATCGAAATGGTTTATATTGCATAAATCTACTTATCTTATGTTGGGAGGGGGAGTAAGCCCTTCATTTCTGGACAAGGGATATTAGACAGCTAAGACTGAATATCGTAAGTTATATTTAAACATTGTAAGTTTATTTCACATTAATGTAAGCCATAAAGGTGCCCTTGTTTTTTATTATGAGCACAAAATACATGCCCCTCACAAAATATGAGAAATGGAGAAAGCAGTTCTATTTAAATCATTGACAACGCGTAAACAATGGCCAACAGTAAACAGTTCTGAGCGAGAGAACACAGTTCGACCGTTTCTAAAGGCCAATGTTTTGGAATTACCGAGATACCGAGGATGAACAGATTTACTTTAGCTATCAATCTCAACTGTGAGCTCCACACAGCCGATCTCATTGCCGTTCTGCTCCAGCATCTTAATCTTTCCCCAGTAGGTACCCTGAAAACAAAGAAACGGGGTGTTTTAGGTGCCGTTCACAATGAGCTTTGTCGACCTGGGCTCCGTAACTCGAAAGCATCGCGAATTGCGATCGAGCGCAAGCGTCTCTATTCCATAACTCGGGATTTACTCGCCCCATATAATAGCCTCGAAATAAAAGGTGATAGCGCTATCGCTATTCGCGATGCTTTCGAGTTAATGACGAGCGACGGCCCAGGACGCAGTGGCGGGTTTAGGTGGGGTGTAAGGGGGGTTTGCAAAATAATCGACATAAGTTTTCATGAGTTTACATCATTTTACAAGTTTACGGAATTTATTGAAATACAATCTGTAAACCCCCGCAGGTTTCAGAGAAAGACATGCTACAATAAAAAAAAAATAAAAAAAAATAAATAAAAAGCAGCTACTAGAGAGCTAGATGGCTAGAAACAATACAAATCGAAAGCGACCATTTAAAATAGAGGTACCAGACGAATGTACTTACGTCGGCTAGCCATCCAAGCCCAGTAGGCAGAGCGCCTACGGTGAACTGCTGGTTGTTCATGGAGATACGTCCTTTTGGGTATGGGCAAGTGCAGGGGATGTTGTGATTTGCCAGCTCTGGTGGACACTTACTAGGGGCCTTCCACTGTGCAGCCCAGTCACAGATGCCATCGTAGGTGCTTTAAACGAAAAAAAAGTTGAATTGATTGTAAAGAGTGCAAATCCCCGACCGGATCGGTTCGCTCTAAGTTTCAGAGTACCGACGGAGACACTCCTCGCCCTAAGTAGAGAGTACCGAGACGTAAACAAAATTTAGCAATATCGCCGAAGCAAAAAAAAAAAATGGTGGACAAGGTTCCAAATCACTCAAATATTTCAATCAGCCAATGTAACGACACCAATTGCAACTTCGAAGGTTAAAACACCACTGTGACAGATAAACAGCTGCGTCTCCAAGGCCAAAAATCTTACACAAAGGTGAGATATCGTGACCCAAACTGAAGAGCAGCGCGGGAAAGAGGCAGGTGGTGTGGTCATGACACCAGATCCTACCGTCACGAGTCACGACCTGGCCAGTTAACCGGTGCGCCAATGGAACTGTTCACAGCAGTACCAACTAAAACGGATTTAGTTCCAAAGCTGGACAACGTGCGTTGGACATTTAAATAATCTTTGTTCATTTTCCTGTATTGTCAAAACGTTTTTTTCTTTTTACATCTCGGCCGATATGATCAATTTGTTCAATTTTGATGTATAATCGTTATATAATGAATTGTGTTTCATAAATGGCCTGTTTGCCAAAATATTCCATCTTAAGATAATAAACCAGTCTACAAAATTCAAGACAGAGAAAAAGATTATAAAGCACTCCATCGCTGGCGCTTTCAACAAAACGCACAAAAACCGATTAAAAGGGGGAAGAACATAGAATCCAGAAAACTATTTTTAATTTGCATTGAAATAACTTGAAACAGGACCCATGAGTGAAGAATTGAACTTAAAAAATTAAGATAAATCACTTGACTTCACAACTATATAAAAACAAGCTACCCGTTTCCAACGATACTCACAACCCCTTGAGGTAAGAAGATGACATATTATCAGAAATGAACTAGAGAGAGAGAGAGAGAGAGAGAGAGAGAGAGTGAAAAGTAATAGAGGAGAGAACGCGTGAGGTTCAGCTCTATAAACGCCTATCACTTTCAAAAATAAACTTACCAAGATCCATAGCCAAAGAGACAGGGGATGGGGACCCAGAAAAACGTCACTTTGCGCTGAAGCTCAAGCTTCACCTTCAGGGGCCCGTTGATAGTTTTGGTAACATCGGCGTCAAAGCTTACGCCGAAAGTTCCTGGCACAGGGACTGGGTGTCTTGTTGGCTTGAATGTTTCGAATCGAAAACCGGGTTTGCCGCCGCCTGAAGAAAGAGGGATTACGAGACGGCATTCCAAGCGTAAAAAAAGGCGCCAAACGTTTCATTTAAAAGCAGACGATCATCTCGTTTACCTTATATCCATTGTCAAATCCACTTTTTCCACCCGTTCAAAATACTGAACCTAAAAGGTTTTCCAGATGCCCTTTTGATTTCATTCAGAGTCAAGTAAATTGCCAACACATCACAGAATGGCGTTCGTTGCGCAATGCTGAATTTCGATAAATTTTGTAAAATTGTGCTGCTAAAATGTTTTCTATATAGCATTAAGTCACAGAGAGTTAAAGCCGAAGTCCAAAACGTCAATTTGAAGGATTATTCAACTTTTATATGAATTAAGTAATTTATGTCATTGATTACACATAATAACAAATAATGTTTTGTTATTATGTGTTATCAATGACATAAATTACTTAATTCGTGGCGACCGTTATTTTATTATTTTAACATATTGTCCGAGGCGATCTACTTACTGCAGTCTTTAAACTCAAAGCCAGCCATACACCCAGCCACAAGGGCTAAGAAACACAGGAGAACCTTCATGTCGATCGATGTGCTTTCCAGTACAAGCGGTGTGCCTTCTAGTACCGTAGTGGGAATGAAGTGCCCAGTTTTATTGGAACAAATGCTATCACATATTACACAACAGACAAACGTGGAACAGACTAGGAACGCGCCTGGTTCGATCTTTTTGGCTTAATATTCTAGTGCATTGCCATATGTGCATAAACGCAAAACTTTTAAAAATTTAAACTCTGGCCGCCACGAATTGAAATGCGCGACAACCATTACTGCTATTAACTCATGTACTGTATTGTTGCTGCTAAAATATTTTGTAACTGACATTGATCGTAATGGCGTTCACTTTAAAACGTCTTAACGCTGTGCGATTATATTCCTCCACACCCACACATGATCAAGCCCAAGTAGTGTTAAAATCGGCGTTCAGACGATTACTTTTCTAAACTGGAAACCGATCCTGCTTAAGTATTCAACGACAAGATTGCACCCTTCCAAACGGGCACCTCTTAAATTTAGTCTTGTCTTGTGACTCGATCCAGACTGGTATCCTAGAATTATTTTGTCTGAGCGGCCTATGCAGCCATACCTTTAAAGGATGTACAGAGATTCGCTGCAAGTTTAGTACCGCTTCGAGGATAAGATGTTATTTAATGAGTATTTGCGTGTAAATGGGGCCATCAAAAATAATAAGACTCGTGTTCATCACATACATCTCCCAAAGCAGCAGGTTAATCTTTGCACTTCAAAACAATTAAGATGTTCCTTTTACAGTACTCAAACACAATATCACGAAATTTTTGGAAATCTTAGTTTTGGGAATTGACTCTGCGTTGATTCAATGAAATAGCATTCGCCAGTTATGTGATTTTTCCGCTGCTCTGTGTAATGTATCGATACAGTTACATGTGTAAGATATCCTATTGTTAAAATTGTTCATTGATGAAAAACATCCAACACTTAATTTCGTAGAGGGTTGTCGTCAACCCTGTACCAAAGTCACAGATTGATTTTTCACTCGATATTCACAGATATGTCTCTGGCTAATTCATGTCACGATTCTCTGCTTTTGGCAGTGGTCGTCAATAAAGACAGATTCAAGAGGTGGCTTGATGGGGCACGTACCCCCTTCCCTTAGCTTTGGCGGTACTTCACTCGATATTTTCCTCATGCCCCATCCTAAAGACAGCATAACAAGCGAAACGAAAAAAAAATGGTCCCATTCCTATGGTCTGCATCTCATCATAAAATTTCCTCGTGTATTATTCCATACTTGTCGGGCAAAGCAATACCAAAATATTTTATCCCCCATCCGGTAGGGAATAAAACATTTTGGCCTGGCTTTGCCCGACAAATATTGGCTCACGGGGGTGGAAAGGGCAAAGAGCACGCAAAGCGGATAGAATCAGAAGAAAAACGTATGCTTATTATATCAAAGAATGGAACTACGATAAACGCTACAGAAAAAGAGTCACAACCTGTCAATTCATTTTAACAGAATGTGCGTTAGGATCAGACGTTAATATCTACGGGCCTCTGTTATTTATATAAGCCGGATCATCCGGGACGTGCGGCTGGCTACAGTTCCACCTGGTAGTTTCCCAGATCGCCGTAGGTTACGCTATTTAAAATCATGTTTTAAGTGACGTTCACATGAGGGGAAACGAGTATTTGCGTGTAAATTGGACCATCGAAAATAATAAAACTCATGTTCATCACTTATATCTCCAAAAGCAAGAGGTTTATCTTTGCACTTCAAAACAATTAAAATGTTCCTTTTACAGTGTTCAAACACAAACAATAAATTTAATAAAATTTTCGGAACTCTCTTACTTTTTGGAATTGACACTGCGTTGATTCAGTGAAATAGTGTTCGTCAGCTTTGTGGTGTTGATAGGTTAGTATTGCACTTTACAATGAAATACTATACAATACAAGATGTGTCATCAAAAGAGAACATCGTCACCTACTTCTCTGAGGATCAGTGGCAAACACGCACAAAAGTAGACATACGTACAAAATGTTCCATCGAAGTTATGTGCAAAATCAGAGCTTTAGCTATCAGATTTTTTTCCTACAACGCCCGCTTAAAATTGAAAATAGGCCCTATTTCGTTGATTTCACATAGTGTGGGGGGAGCTGTGCGCAAAATGTAAAAGCTTTAGCTACCAGATTTTTTCCTACTATGCCCGATGAAGTTTGAAATAAGTCCGATTTCGTCAATTTAATGAAGGGTAACTTTATCCAAATATATATGAGATCTTTATAGTCGGTCTGTTGCCAATTGGGCATAGCATGTAAACAACGGGATAAATCGATTGTTCAGTTGTACATATTCGTTAATTAAAAAAGTACGTAACACGTGCCGTCCAGCGGACCTTTATAATGCACACAAATTCGATTGTGTTTGGTGATCCCATACGCTCTCCTCTAAAGCCTCGGCGTGGCAGGTCCTGACTTATGCCCCCTTTACGTACGGCGTCCTTTCTGCGTCCTTTGTTCGACCATGAAACTGGCGTCGCTGTGGTCTTAGAAAGGAGGCACAAGCATCGCTTTGGTTGCAGAGTGAATGCTCAATGATTGGCCAGTTGTCGGCACGTAAAAGTATTATTTTTTTTACTCTCAAACGGGACCGTCATACGGAACGCAGAAAGGACGCCGTCCGGTGCAAACGGGAGTTTACTTTGGAAGCAGTCCTTTTTCTTAGACATCGACTAGATTTAAAGGGAAGCTCCACAGGATTTACCGGCATATATGCATTTTCCAGAGGAAATAAACAATTTTCTCGTACTCACAAATCATTTATCTATCCCTTTCTGCACTTGGATTCGGCCATTGGTTGAATTTATAAAGGTTGATTTATTTTAAAATGACTGGCAGGCCATTATAACCAGCGACCATCTTCCTAAACTCCGATGAAAATATAAACATCAGATACGTTCTAGAAAGAAATTATTGAAGGGGTTTAATGGTTTTTAAGGTGTCTGTAAGGTTTTATAAGGAGCTGCGGATGGCCAAAATATAAGCATAAGGGGGATTTCCAAACCCATGGAGTGTACCTTTAATAGAGGATCCCATTGGGGGGGGGGGGGGGGGATAGTGATCACAGTTCACGGAGAAATAAAATCATCAATTCACAAATCACTGTAAATAAAACTTTATTCATATCTTTATGATAATACGAGTTGAAAATCCTGAAAAACATTAATCACCGGGTACCATGACTTTGTTTCACGATGGGCGAAGAATAAAATGTCGCATTTACGAGTCACGGCAAAGGGGTGCTTCACAGATCACGCTAAATAAAATGGACGTTTTGTGCATCTCGGGAAATAAAAAGTGGCCTTCGCGAGTAACGAAAATACCCAATGGGATCCTTACTAAGTTAATGATACGCCTATCCTCACCAGGTAGCTTCCTCCTCAATGCGTATTTAAAGAGAGCCCTGGTGAATCGTATTAATTAGAGGGGGATTATAATGTAAAAATTTGGGCCTTTAGTGGTCTCTTGTGAGGAAAATATTGAAAACGGGATCGAAATCTGCAGGAATCTCTTCTTGCTGATCATTTGTCTTTGATAAGCCCTATCTTAAAATGAGTTGATTTTTTTTCTGATATCTGTTTGCATTCGCATACATCCAAACAATAATGTACAATGCATTACTTATATGTAATTGATTCTTCATGAAATAATGGAAATTACAAAACAAAAACTTTTGATGAAGTACAAAATTTTACATTGTCACTTCAAGACATAAAATTTCTCTTTCATAAAACTTTGGAAAGTTTTCATAAGTTTGCAATCGTGCGCTGTCATAATTTCGATATCCAAGCAAGCTATAGGCCTACACGTAGGCCTACAAATTGACCAAAATGGCTTGATCATCAGAGAACTGGTTATTCCCTTGTTTAGCGCTTACCCGCCAAAAAAAGGGGAGTTGGTTTTACATAAAATAATTAATGCAGGCCTGGTGTGTTTTTCCATTGGTCTGCATCCTTTCCCCGTCGCTCAATGAATGTGTTTAATCAAGTTCACATTTTGCGGAGTGACCACCCAAGGTCGCCCCAGACGGCGACGACCAGTTCCCGCGCACCTTCTGACCTCATTCAGCTCAGGAATGCGAGCAAGCGTTGTCAACCAATCAAATCAACTTCCGGTTAAGACACGTGAGGAATTTTGGAAGCGACGTGCAGGCGAAAAAGTTGATAATCAGAAGAAAATATTAAAGAAAAAATAGTGGAATTGCACCAAAAGTTTCAAAACTTTGCTGTTGTGTGCAAACGATGTTTATTATGCAATTGGTTGCGATTTTAAATCAAGGTAAGTCGTAAGACGCTCGAAAAACTTCATTTAATATCCTCTTTAAAAGTTTCATTGATGCCCTGGAAGCCATTGCGGTTTGGATTTTAATTTTTAATGGCGACTGAGATTTAAAAGGATTTCGCTTTAGAGGACACACATCACACTATTCTTGATGTCAACATCTTGATATGAGTTGCAGCACCTGTGTTTTGGAGGAAAATACCTACCAGAAGTATGTTTCTGAATGAAAAACTGAGATTTAAGGGTCTGAAAACGCAATCTGTGCAGCACAGCCCTTTGTCTACTACCTGTTGCTGAGGGGGGCGAATGGCCAACTTTCTTTGTCTGCTTGTTGTGCAGCGTGGTCTGCTCGGTGGAGAACAAAGAAATAAATTCATATCTCATTTACTATGCCGTTTAAAGCTTGTTTTGTATTTCTTCATTACTTAAAGTTTACCTGAATTAAAATTTGATTTTTAAAATGTTTATTGAAATAAAGTTCTAATGGGACTGATTATAGATCTGAATGAAATGTTGTGATAACAGGTGATAATTTGTGTGTGCATACATCAGTACAAGCGTGTGTATGTATTTATGAATGCCTTATGGCATGCTGTTTTTTTATATTATTTTTATTATAATATAAAGTTTGCTTTACTAATTTGATTCTAATTCTTACTTAGACAAAAGTTGTTTTGCGTCCAAGTTTTTGTGCCTCATGACTTTTGACAAATAATGATAAAACTGTTTTTAATTCATTTAAAATCAGGACACTATTTTACGTGAAGTTAAATGCATATTAAAGCAAAATATCATCATGAAATTGAGACCATAGGGTTTTGGCATTGTCATCTGTGCAAACTCAGTTCAAGAAGTTATAACTTCTTGCTCAGTTTTTGTGGCACATTTGCCAGTAAACTGCAGGTCCCTTTGATTTCCTTTGGTAACAAAAAACGATTTTGTGCCCTCCTTTCCACACCCTCTTCATTATTGGCGCGTGAATACCGTCACTGAAAAGAAAATAGAAGGTACTTATTTTTAACAACAAATGGTACTTCTTGCCTATGATAATTTATTGGAGTAGTGATAAAGTCAAAGATGTATTTTGTTTAGAAAAAAAAGGCGCATAGAAATTTTGATGTCTTTAACTTCCTTAAACTGTTTTTAATTAGTTTCTGTTCATATCTTAGCGATATAACATTCTTGTAAAAATTGACGTTATACCCTTGCTGAGTAGTTGCATTGTAAAGCGAAGTGAAACAAAGGGGAAGGATTATCCATACAATTGATCACATTGCTGAAACCCAAGGAATAAAAAGATGGACTGAAAACACGTTTCTGAATAATTTTGAGTTAGGAATATAGAATAGTGGTAGTTAACCAGTTCCAGGAAATAAGGCAGAAAATTTGTCTTATTTCAGTGCCTGAACCCCCTTGAAAGTTTCCTAAACACAATTTTGCACCAATTAAAACTTTTTCTCCAGAAAAAAAGGCAATTCGAGTTTCTCAACAGGAATCCTTGCTTGCCCGTCCTTACATGTGGATTCAATGTTTTATATCATTTTAAATTTAAATCTAGTTTTAAATATCTGCCAAGTCACTAAAACCGCCATTTTTTCCTGTACATTACTGGTTCTTTTATTTAAGAGTTTGTTTTTTTTTTTTAAATTGTGTTAAAGGTCTAAATTGTGAAGCTTTGCAGGATATGTATGGACCTAGGAAATTTGACTTTTAGACATTTTCAAATACCAATAGTATACCTTAAAGTAACCTCCCAATACCTTGAAAAGACAGATTAAAATTAGTAACTAAAAAAAGGACTAAAAAAATTGTATCCAATGTGGCATTTTCTTGTAGGTCACGTTTGCCTGACTCATGGTGGTATTTATTATCTTCCGCAAAAGTCACTAATTTTTGTAATGCAAAAAGAATGACTTTGACCAGACAGGCAATGTTTATAGTTGGCAAATCATCATCATATGTGGAGAAAGAAGACAGCTTCCTTTAATTCAATTTTTGGGACTAAAGCACTGTTAACGTAACTATGCTTCGTGTGTGTGTGTGTTTTTTTTTTTTTTTTTAGTATTCAGAGGACATATTTACAACAGTATAAACGATAGAAGATTGATCTGCGAAATGAAGATTGAATGACTTAGAAGGTCCTTAGGTTAAAGATGCATCATTTGTTCATATACAAATACTTGTACAAGATGTAGTTGACTTTTTCGAGTTTTGTCCTGTCCATGTACAGTAGCACTTTCTATGTTGATATCAGTATAAAGTTACATTGATAATCAGGTTGTTACCCTCTAAAGACTTGGGGCTTAAATTTCTTCATTCTCCCCCACAAAACAGAATGGCGCAAGTCATTTTATATTTTATATAGGATTTTTCAAATACTTTAGTGACATTTAAGATTGTACCTACAGTGCTTACTGTAACACAGTTTTCAACCTTTTCAATTTAACTGCCAGACAAGCGTGAAGGCCATGGGAAAATTTGTTTTAAAGTAAGAAATAAAATCTTAAGAACGTCAGGAAAATGAAGTTCTGCTGATGCATACTGTGTTGAAGTTGTACTAGTAAATAAAAAGATTTTAAAATATTTGATTTACCATGAAGTAAATGTCTATAATTGGCTTTCCTTTTCAAGTTTTGAGTTGTTTTATTCAAAGTTAGGTTCTAATGTTGAAGCTAGAAACGGGAAAGAAAAGACATTTCTAGTAATGGTGCTGACTATATATGTAGCCTACTATCTAAAACTAACTCCAATTCAAATTTCCCACTGACAGCCTTATTCTTAATGAAGGATCCTTTGATTTATGAAAGAAGATACAAAATATTTTCTTTGGAGAACTTATATGCTGAATAAAATCACATTTGGGAGACAATTATATTTAGGTCAGTTTTCAGATACCCTTATATATACTGCCTCGTATGAATAAAATGATAAGAAACGAATGTGATATCTCTTAAATGTTATAAAAGCTTTATATATCAATGCATCTAATTCTGCCAAATTAGGATCTTTTACAAGGAAATTGTTCAAAGTCACCACAGAAGAAGGAAAAAGAATATATTATTTGACTCGGTTTCATTTTCTCTTCCAGGGGGAGCAATGTCAGGATAGTTCTGAGGGGACTATGGACAGGCCAAGGTCTGGTTTCCATGGCAACCAAACATCGCCTGTGATGGACAAGAAAAACTATGAAGAGGTGGCAGTCATTGGAAATGGTGCTTATGGGACTGTATATAAAGCCCGCGACTTACGAAATGATGGGCAGATGGTGGCCCTGAAAAAGATACGAATTCAGACCACAGAAGATGGGATGCCCATGAACACGATTAGAGAAATCTCACTTTTGACTCATTTGGATGATCACCCCAATATTGTCAGGTAATTCCCAGTCTGTTGTTTGGTTTGTATTATCCTCTGACAATGATTTTATGGATATTTTTTTTTGGCAGACGCGGAAGTTCCTTCCATGTGAACTTGGAAGGCCAAGAAGAGAGAAGGTTGAAAGGATGTTGCAGTAGTCCACTTGAATGTGTAATTATTCATGGTAGGGAATAAAATGTATGTCACTGAAAATAACGATAAGAAAGGGGAGGGAGGAGGGATTTAGAAGAGACATACCAAAGTTTTTTTTGTTTTTTTTTTGCAAGATGCCTCGGACTGTCTCAAGGACTGTGTGTGTGTATGTGTAAGTCGCAGTTGGTAATAAAACCTGATAGAAACATAAGTGGGATTTGGGAGTTCTGTTGGGAGGAATTTATATTTACTATAGTATAGCGCATGTATCATGGTCTTTGTGATGTTATTGATATATAGACAGAAACTGAATTGGAAGATGAAGTTTTAATGCAGTTCTGTAGACTTACCATTTGCTGTGTCACATTCATACATGATATAAAGTTAAAGGAAATGAGACTTCAAGTTACTAGCAAAACAAGTTTTGTGGGGGTGTCATTTTTTTCTTGGAAGAAACCAATTTTAGCACAATTTTTCTTAGCCCACACTTGTTAACCTTTTAAACATAAATTATAGTGAGCAGTTGAAAAAAATAATCTGTGTTTAAACAGGATAAAAAAGGGCTAAGTTCTGGTTAAATTATTTGCAGTTTATAATGAAGTGCTCACAACAAATAATTTTAACATTGCACCACCAGTTAAAGTAGTTAATTCAATGATCTCAATCACAAACCTGCAGCTCAAAGTCGCAAGAGGCATTTATCGTTTATCATTTAATCGGCAAAATCAGACTGCCCTCTAAGAAGGGCGGACCTATCTCCAATATGAACGCGACTTGAGGGAGAATATCAAAAAACCTTAGAGTTATCCTGCAAGAGGGTCTGGATCCAACCTGTTGGTCGATGGAAGGGTAATTCAGCAATGGCTTTGCCATGATGAGTGGCTTTTATACATACACACAGAGAAATATCCTGTGTTTTGTGTTCAGGGGAGTTGTTATGTAAAGTCTCTGCATACCTGTGGTTACTTGATGTGGTAAAAGACTTTTATCTAGAAGGGTGGGGGTAAATTATTGACTTAACTACCTACATACCCTAGCTCTCCCACGCATGGTTTACTACATATAGCTATATTACATATGAATATCTGTGTGTGTTATTGGATCTCTGAATATACTGCAAATTGATATGCTGGGTATATTTATATTATGAAATCTGATAATTGGTTGCGTTTTATTTGTTTTTTATTCATATTTATTATTATCATTTTTTTTTTTTTGGTCTTGGGCAAAGTTTTGTGGTGTGTAGGCTTTAGCGCTTGTATTGAATATTTGGCGAAGAATTGTTTTTAGCTCATTGAATGATGCAAAAACATGACATATATTAAAAGGAAATTAATACTAAAAGAATTATACGGTTTATGAAAACATAATTTACTACAAGGCTATAAAACGTAAAGCATAATTTATGAGATAATAAATGTACTAGATCTCCTCGTCAATCATCTTCCTAGGTGCCACCAAAATTTTAATGTATCTATTTTCCCCCTTCTCTAGACATGCTAGTCAAAATACCTCAAGGGTCGGAAACTTCTGCATATTTATTTGAGAATAGACATTGCTGACATATAGATAAACCCCACTCTACTTATCTGTCTAATTTTTGCTTTGATACATTTAATTATTTAAAATATTTCTTCTGATACAGATATACACCTTCTTAAGGAGGACAAATCACATGTATAAGGCATCATACATAAATGGTATAAAGTACAGCAAATGAATGGAATCTAGCGTCCACTTGACATATAATTGTTCATTTTTGCATGAGATGGTTGAAACCCAACTGTAAATTAAGTGTATCTAAAAATGTGTAACATTCATTTTTCATGGTACATCTTTTGCTGTTTATAAGCCACGCTGTGATTTGTTCTGAAAAAAATTTACATAAAATATCACAATTTCATCCTCCCTAAAAAAACTGATGTGTAAGTTGCCAAACTTGTATTTGTTAATATGGCAGGAAGTAGCCCAACATCAACTTGATTTCCTCCACATCTAAAGCTCTATAAACATTATCTCTCAACAGAGTAAACAGCGGTGTAGCTGTACAACAAACAACACCGCTTCCACAGGTATGCGGCTATATTTGGAGTTAGTGTTTGGAGACCGTGGCCAGGCCATTCATAAAGCAGAACTCCCAAAAATTTTATGAATGGAAGCCAGTGTGCAATCATCATGGCCTCCTGACAGCCTACACTGCAGGGAGAGGACAAGAAATATAGAGACAACTTAAAGCTGAAACTTTTAAGTACATCATTGTTGAAAAAGCAGTGAATTTGTGGAATGAAGGTTGTTGGTGTCGTCTAATGAATTGTGCATTATTAGTTTTTAGCGATTGATTGATTGATTGATTGATTGATTGATTGATTTTCATTATTACAACACAAAAAAAAAATCTTGGCATTTTCAACATGGCCTTTTAAATGCTGTAAGTACACCTTGCTAAGTCACAGCAAACACAATGTCGTACCAAACGCAGTGTCACACCTAACGCAATACCACACCTAACCTCCATTCATCCATGCAAGATGAATTGAGAGCATGAAGGAAAATGAAAATTTATTGACAAAACTGAAATAAGGTTAGTTAATGGTCTTAATTCAGCAATAGTATTTGAATTTAAAGTACTTACTAGTATGCTTTTTTCGTTTCATATCCAGGAACACTGCATATTTGAATATGAAAATTCAGCAGGCTAGGGGTAAGGATTTAGTGCAGAATCACAATTTTCCACCAAATACTGCACTTTTTTGTCACAAAGGTGTTGCTGCTGCCCATTTTCTGCTCCTTGCTCATGAAAATATGCTATATGTACAAAATGTTTCACTCAATTTTAGGTTATGTCTATATACGGACATTATTTACTTTAAAAATATTTATCAGATCTGTTTGAATTAACTTTGGGTTATCTGTTTTCTGCGCCTTTTGTAAACAAATTGCTGGTTGGTATGATAAGTACTACATAAAGGTAAACATTTTTATCGTGTCTTTTTCTCTCCTAAACTCTAACAGGAAGTTAGGATGGAACCTTGCAATAAAAATAACTGCTGTGAGTGTAATACTTTACTGATATACGAGTTGGACATATTGAAAGTGAAAGTGTTAGGTTCTGTATTCAGGATCTTAGTTTGAAGAAAAAAAAACGGTGAATTTTCTCAATGGTAAATTTGATAGTTTTCACTGCCAATCACAAACATGTACTTAGTTATCTTGATTTTGAGGTTTAGTACAATAGGATATGGTGTTGTTAATAGATGCTCCGATATTTGTGATTGGTACAATAAACATTAGTTAGTGGTGCTGAATTTTGGACTGGACATAGTCCATGTGTGGAAATTTTCCGGCCAATACTTTGAAAATTTTATTTGTTATGAAAGCGAAAGTCTATTCTTTAATCATTGTGATCTAAAGAGATCAGAGAGCACTTCAAAAATGCAGGTCTTCACCAAGGAAAAGTGCTGTAAATATTATTTTTGAAATATGAAGAAAGATAGATTTAGATTCAGTACAAATTGTAATTTCACTCGTTTTCTCCCTGAATAACCATCTGTCCTGAAATTTGCATTTAATTATAATTTATCAGCAAATTTTTAAGACATCTTGCCCATTGACAAACAGACTAACCAACAGCAACAAACACGTACATGACCTTTGTTGGCTGAGATAATGGCCTTTATATGCTTCTAATAATTATGTAATATCTCTTCCAATTAATCACTTACCTGGCTGAAAATATTCATTTTTATGTGTGTTGTATATTAATTATATGCTAAGTATTTCATTTGGCCTTAAGGAAATCGTAACTCAGAAGAACATATGGTTTAATTGTTAAGATATTCAGCATATTGTTTATGCTCTTTTTTATTTTGACTTAAATTGATATCTTTAAATTTGATAGCCTAAACCTAATGAATTTATGTCTTTTATATCTTTTTGTATCTTTCTGTGTCAATGTTTTAAAAGAGCTCCAAAGAACTCCATAATACATAATCCATAATACGTAGCTTGTGGCATCACTTGGCCACTTTCACTAGAACTTTTCATGGTGTGGAGGTTGAAAAGAGCAAATTGATAATGATTTTTTTTACTTTTGTGGGAAATCCCACCTGCAATGTGTTTGATTTTGTATGGCACTAAAGTTCAAAATACAAATGAAACGCAAGAAAAAGATTCATTTTTAAAAGGGTACCTTTTTGGAAAACTGCATCATACAATGTTTGCACGAAGAAAGCAGTTATTATATATTAAAATAATAATGATAATAATAATAAGCAAAATAATGTAATATTTTAAGACAAAATTTAAGGTGGCCATGGGCTTATTTCCCTTCAGCACCCCAAGGCAAGTTAAAGTGGCCAGCCAGTTGGGCCCTTATCAATATTCCTCCTTGGGAGCACCTATTGAAAGGTTCTTAACTAAGCCATGTTGATTTTACACAGGAAGCTGGGTCAAGCAAACAAAGGCGCAGAGATCAAAAAGGAATATAAATCATACGCAATTCTGAACCTTGACTTCCAAAAAATGTTTTGAAAAAATAAACTGTTGCAATTTATTAAAATAATATTTATGAAGAATGATGTGGAAGAATTTGACTGTTAATGAAAACAGAAAGTTGGTGATTATATAATGCAAAACTTGATTTTTGGTGTATTTTTTGGGAGAAGTAAACAGTTCAAATAACAAGGTGCAGTTTTTCATGCATTTGATATATTTTATAACTTGTTTATTTATTAGTTGGTACATGCATTGTCTTCCATGTTTGCACTGTATGCCTCAGCAAATTACTGGAAGACTTCACAAGAAAACCACTAGCAACCAACAAGTGAAACAACAGACAAATGAAACTTTACTTAAAGTTGACCATCACCTGATCAAATTGAAAAACTCTGTTTATTTGAACAGTGCTTTTTTATGATTAATAAAAACTAGAGTTATGGGACAAAGATTGGTAAAATACATGATTGTAGACATATTGGATTACAGGGTTCAGGCGTATCCCCAGGATTTGGGGTACTGGAAGCCCAAAATATGACTTTGTAATTCGGCCATCGATTTAAAAGTAGTCCAACCCAAGCAGGCCCAACAAACAAACCCAAAAAGGTGTCCACCTTTGGAAATATAGTAGTTGTGCCAAGTTCTTTTCAACTTACAGGGCTCTTTGGCTGCCAGGCATGACATTCTACTGGCCTGAACTAAAATTTACTGGCCCAATTTTTAAAAATTATTAATTTAAAACATTGAGATAAAACATGCTTCCTATTGTAAACAAGAATAAAAACATGGGATTTTCAAAAGTTTAAAAGACTTCAACATTTAGTCTGAATATTTATGAAATGCATCGGAGTACATGTTACAGCTGCAAAAAAGCCACTCTTCGGTCGGGCCAGTAACTGATAGTTTTTCGAAAAAAAACACTGGCCCAGTCCAATTTTTACTGGCATTGGCAGATTGATACAGGCCATCTTTTAAGGTTAATGTCTGTTCAAATGATGCCAGGACGGCTGTCTGGAAAAGGCCTTGACAGGGTTTCAAATCAAGGGATTTCATGATTCTCACTTTACAATATCCAAAAAGTTTCATAGAAATGGTTCGATTGAAAATAATCCTAATTTTTTTTTTTATTATATTGAACAATGTACATTAACAGAAAAAAGAGACAAACGGGATAATTTGAATAAGGAAAAGAGACATAAAAGAATTTTATGAAAGAGAAATTTTCATGGCTGAATCACTGAACATATATAAAGGTGGCAACTTTGCTACAAAAGGTATGCACTGGTCAGCAGTCGGCCACAACATGAACTAGCCAAATGGTCAGCCGTCCTTTGATCCTGACTGACCAGAAATTGGACAGGATCACTGATTTCAAGGGCCCCGGGGTCTCTAGTTATATACCAGTTGCACTGGTTTACTGCCTGGTTCACCAGGGTTTCCACTGAGTCAACTTGCCCAACCTTGGTGCGACCCAGGATTGAAGTTGTTTTTTGTTGAAAAAACAGTGGTAAAAGGCAGAATAATTTCCATATAATTGATGGAAATGGCACGACAGGTGTTGCATGGTGGCAAGTAGTTGAATATTGTACAAAAAGTGTGTGCTGAAGTTTTGTACAATGTAAAGGTGTGTAGGAGCGTTTGACCCCTGGTGTATTTGTGGTTATGGGCCCTTCATCTATGCCATGTTGGTTATTGTACCTCACATAGTATGAGGAGTGGGGAGCCAGACCCATTGTTTGGTGAAAAAACAAGAGACACATACTGCGGGAGATTTTACCTCAAAGACCAACTGTTGTTTTGAAACATGATAGTTGTATTGTCCCCGTACCTCGTCAATGCCGCCTGCATTCTTTTCCACAATGCAGTACAGAGAAACTGCTGTATGAACATCTAAAGGGCACGATTAAAAGATTAGGACGTTTCCGTGCCCGTGAATAGGTCTTGTACGGAGAGCGGCCTGACTCGAGCCAAACACAAGTCAGGGTGAAAGTTTCATTCATGTTGAATGAGGTCGCGCAATCTGCGATGCAATCTTGAAAAGCTTAGAATAAATATCTTGAATAATATGAGTACAACAGGTGTAATCCAGACTTATGCCTAACGACCCCTAAGTTAAGTTGGATGTATATTGTGTATATTAGTATTATTATGCAAATGGAAGAAAAATATTTCAAATTACAAACGGCAGTTTTGTCCTAGTAGAGCAGTTTTATTATTCTCTGGAGAGAGTATGTTGTAAGGGGTCAGATGTTTTAGTGTACAGAAATGGATAGAGTTGAGGCCACTGGACTGACCTCCTTGACCCAAGAGGTCGGACCTTTTAACCACCCTGTAAGGAGGGGAATAGCAGCCTAATTGGGGGTTATGTAAGGAAATTCCAAGTGTGTTGTTATTGGGTTACTTTTCAGACAAGTGAAAGAATCAGATTATTTGTGAAATGAAAGTTTTAATAAAAGAATAACAGAAATGTAAATGACAAAGTTAGTTGGAGTTAGCCAAGGGAAGGGCAAGCCAACCCTAGTTTGAATTTTCATTTCTTGGCTATTATAATTTAGGGAATGAAATTCTTTGCAATGTAAATGTAGACAAGTTCAGTGTAAATACCAAGATTTGTCGAAAATGAACATGAAATAAGTCTGGTTGTTTTCTCACTCCTACATATTATTTTATTAAGCCTCCCTCTCGATTTTTATTTTCATCATTTTTAAACAGAACAAGGAAGGAAAAAATTGCAAAATATATTAGATGAAGTAAAATTGTTCTTGAATCTTAGGCACTGTTAAAAATAATCTGTGTAAGCTCCACCTTAGACTTAAAGCCTTATTAAAGTATCATAGTAAAATTTTTGAGAAAGATACTTAATAAGGGGACCTTGAAGGATAATTAAACATATAAAAATGACTTTATATTTTTCAACTTTTACCCATCTCTCCACAGATTACTAGACATCTGTCACACACAGAAGGATCAGCGGGAAACTCATCTTTACCTGGTGTTTGAGCACATAGACCAGGACTTGGCCACCTACCTGGAAAAATGTCCCTCACCTGGACTGGGGCCAGACAGGATACTGGTTCGTGAAAAAAAAATGAAGATTATTTGATTGTTGAACATCTTGCACATTTTAGAATTTCACAAAATACTTGAAAGTTTGACAAGATATTATTATGTGTAGAAAGCTGTTTCAGACTCTTTGTAGTAATTTTCTTGAAAAATAAAACTTCCAAAAAAATACATGCACTGCAAAATTATTACAACAAATATTGGGCACATTTAATTTAATCATTTGTTATCCAAAATTTCATTTGTTGCTAAATTCCATGTTTATGTTTCAGGACCTGATGAAGCAGCTTCTTAAGGGGGTGGAATTTCTCCATACAAATAGGATAGTACATCGAGACTTGAAGCCTCAGAACATCCTAGTCACCTGTGATGGCAAACTCAAACTGGCAGATTTTGGCCTGGCCAGAGTGTACGGGTTTCAGATGGCGCTAACGTCAGTGGTAAGCAAGATGAACTTTTGGGAAGAAATTGAATTTTGTAAAGTTAGGTTAAATGATTGCAAATCGGTGACAGTGCAACAACCAAAAAGAAAATTAAATAATATTTCAATTTGTGGAAAAAATTCCATTCTATACACAGGCAAAAAGTTGAAGAACAAGCCTATCTCAGTGAATATTGGTAAATTTGATATCTTTGTTATTAAAATTTTTGTTATATTTTTCCTCAGCCAAAGACAATTATTTTACACATTTTGCCAAAAAGAAAAGATATATTTGAGCATACAACCTATACACAGTGGCTTAATATGCTAAAGATCCTGAACAGTAAATGAGTCTGTGGCCTCTACTGTACAGGTGTCATTGAACATATACTTAACAAAATATGGTATATTAATCTGTTAAGTCTACCTTACCGTTCTGACTGGTTCAGCGGAAACACACTTCATCTCATGTTTACTCTCTGGATGAGCATGTTTCCCTGGGTTTGTGCAGAATCATTTGTCCTTAAAATGTGTTATTGCTAATAAGAGGCTTAGAGTTGGCTGAAAAGAACAACTTGCATAAACCTGGCTTGATGGCGTCTATGGCTGTGTTCAAAGCAGTTCACACTTAACGCAAGAAATAGTTTTATTTTCTCCCCAGTTAGACTGGTTGTTCAACATAGGATATGAGGGATAATGAGAACACCTGTGTTATTTGTTACTGTGGTGACATCAGTTAAACCATTTTAGGTTTATCTTGGACTAGTCTGAGCACCCATTTTGTTGCCCTTATCACTCCTTCACAACCAGAGGGACAAAATAAATTAGACTTAATGTTATTTAAGAACCTAGTATGGGCTATCTAAAAGACTGGAGAATTATGGACTCTGTTATAAGCCTTCCTGGTTACACTACAAATAATTACATAAATTGATAAATCAGTGCCCAAAAAAGTCCAATAATTAATGATCCTTAATGACTTTTTTCTTATTTGCGCTTGGATTACTTTGTTAAATACAGTTGCGTATATTTGATATTTGTAAGACAAATATGGTTATAAAGTAGACTTTTGTTGTAAGGTGATTCAGAATTTAAGTGCCACCCATGAAATGTCATTACCTCTTATTACATGGTGTGAGTGGATGGGGAGGGAGGATGCTAGGGGGTGAAGATGAGGTGCCATACATGTTATACACAGCTATTAATTGACTAAAATTTAATGTCTGGTTGCTCCTATTATGGTAGAATCAGGAGCCTGTTTCATTTGATATAGAAAGTTAGTCTTAACATTTTAAACCAGAATTTTATTCAACTTTGACCTAAGATAAAATCAGTGTTGTCATATTAAAAGAAATGTTGAACCAATTTTAAAACAAAAATGAGCTTTTGTTTGATACCAAAAGCTAATCTATCTAAGCCAACTGCTGCACACTTTGGAATTGAAGGTCACTGAAATTTTTGTTCTTTAACTTTACACCCACCCAATATGTATTTGTCCTTTGAAATAGAGGTCAGTCGCCCAAAGCAGGGATAAAATTTTTCCCACCATTAGCAGATTTTCAATTTTCTGGGAGCCAAAAATATCATTGCCCTAGGTGCCCCCACTCCATATTTCCTGACGTTTTCACTACAATCTCACCTCTGTCTAAGATTTCCTGAACATGGGTCACTCCAGTATGTAGGTTTTGCCATTGTGTGTCCTAGCTGGTCAGTTAATTGTAAATCCTGACCATGGGTCAGTCTAACACCCATATTTGCTATTGTGTTTCATGTGGTCACTTTGTGGTATAGATTGACCATGGGCCAGTGTAGCACATTAATTTGCTGTTCTGTATTGCAGGTGGTCACACTGTGGTACAGGGCCCCAGAGGTGTTACTACAGGCCAGATATGCCACCCCAGTGGACATGTGGAGCTGCGGGTGCATATTTGCGGAGTTATTTAGGAGAAGGTGAGTCAGTTAATATACATGTGCATGCAGGCGAGCGTACACACACATGGTGCAAATTGCACTCTACATGCAAAAAAACTGCTGTGTAACTCGAGCTTCAAATTTGTGAGCACGAATGCCCAAATTTACAACTATAGCCACCAATTAAGAACCCAAACATAAAATTATTAGCCACAAGCACAAAGTATGGACATGGAGGTCTTGTTAAAATATTTTGCTGGAGACACCCTTTGATAGTAGGGTCAATACAAAACACTAAATGTTTCTTTGAAGTAAGAAATGGCAATATGTGTAGCTCACCTAATCTCTTACTTGTTAAATTGAAACAAAATGTTAAGCTGTATCAATGGTTCAACTAACACAATAGCACATGGTTTTCCATTACATTACATGTCAACTATTGCATTTCTTTTTCCCAGGCCGCTGTTTTGTGGACAGTCTGAAATGGACCAGCTGATAAAAATATTTGAGTAAGTGAGCTAATTGATTACAATATATATGTATTAGTTATCATAATTAGAAATATATTAGAAATATTAAGCAGATGTATAAAGGTGTATAAACAAGTGTTATTAAAATAATGGGGAAAAAACTTGACATATATTCATGTTTGTTAGTGAGATTATGTTTTTCAGTGTCTGTAGAGCTAAAACTATGCCATTTTTTGAATAGGTTCAATTTTACATTTAACACGGTGACTAAAAATCCAGTGTTGACTTTCACAATAGACCTCTTAACTTGGTTGTTCTTGGCTTAAAGACTAAAATTGAAGGTTATATTGACTCCAAAAAAGTCAAAAGTTGTCATGTTTTACATCTTTGGCAATTCAGTAATATGACTATGATATAAGAGCAAGTTATTGAAATAATTGACACTTGGCCTAGAGAAAGGTGCTAAATTTTCTTTATCAAGGAAGGAAATACTCATAAAAGCCATACAATATTTTAAGCTGCAGAGATAATGAATGTTCTCCTTCAGAATCTTGGGCACCCCGTCCTATGAGGACTGGCCGGAGGGTGTGGCCATTCGCTGGGAGGCATTCCGCCCCATGCCCAGGAAGTCCCTCAGGACCATCATTGAGGATCTGGACAGTCCAGCACAGGACCTGCTAGAGGTGAGACTTAAAGGGTATCCATGGGATTTACCTGCCAAAATGGATTTTACTGGGGAAATGAGCAATTTTCACTTACCCACGAATCATTTATCTCTCCCTGTCTGCACTTGGATTGGACTTTTAATTAAATTAATAAAGGTTGATTTAGTTTAAAACTCACAAAAGATATTAGCTAGAGAAAAAGTCAGGATTGTCTCGTACCTGTGTTTCAGAAACTATTCCTCACTGTTTACACTTTGTCACTTTCAGAATCTTCTGTCGTTAAACCCACTTCAGAGCATCAGTATTTTAAAATCTTTGTTGACAATATTCTTTACTGTTTATTTTATGTCACTTTCAGAAACTGTTGTCATTAAACCCACTTCAGCGGATCAGTGCCAGGGATGCTCTACAGCATCCATATTTCTCTGACAGTATATATCAGGAGGCAGGAGGATCATCATCCTCTCCATCCTCATCCTCCTCCTCATCCTCCTCAAACAGCAATGGAAACAATTCCGGTGAAAATTATGACACAGACTTCTCTCCTGAGCCAGAGAAATGACCTATCACCATATTGTGTTCAGTATGACATAACTAGACAATTAAAACTTCTGTCGCCACTGCCGTAGTGCTCTTTTAAGTTTTTAAGGGGATTTTTTTATCCAAAGTACAAAAATGCTTTAAGAAGATTTCTGTCATGGCAACTAGAGTCTGTGTCCCTGTCATTCTTATAGTAAGGTGCTTAATTTTGGAGCAGTATTTCTATTCAGAGGATGAGAAATGGCTTATCGCTGGTGTTAAGTATTTGATGAATAGAGCCAGCTTTTGTCATGTGACTTTAGTATTGTTACATCATTGTTGTGTTATAAAGAGGATTCTTCCAGATTTCAACTATGAGGCAGTTTGTACACAGTGGATGAGTGTTTGAAACAACTTCAGGTATCTGAAGAAGAATTGAGACTAATGAAACCTGGAAGTCTACGTTAATCCCCTTGGAGAAAGATCCACCAGAAATTGTTTTTGAAAAGCTCATGGCTTAATGGGGATTCTAGAGCAGGTATAATACAGCCTCCCATAGTCTATGACTTAGTGTTGCATTTGCTTCATCTCCATATATATATATATCGAATGCATAGGAAACATGATACGTAAGATGCCAAAGACATTGCAAGAAGGACTCCAGAAATATATGAAGAATATAATGAAGTTGGACAAAACAAGAGGCGAGTTGCTTATGGACCAAGGCAGTACTCGAGGTCATACCAGGAAGCCATTGAGAAATATCCATCAGCCGACTGTGGCAGAGCAAGGAGGATTGGATATTTCAAACAATTGATGAACTGGCAATTTGTCTAGATTTATTGGAATACATTAATAACAGTGGACCTTGTATGACATCAAAAGGATACCAAGGAATCACTTTTACATTGTGCAGCTATTAAGAAGTTCTGGATATAGTTCTGAATTTGTCATCGATGACGTCTGCCATGGATTCAGGCCAAGTGCAAATATGAACGAACAATTATTGAGAACAAAGTTCTATCAAGGGGCTGTCAGACTTGAGTTATTTCTGAATAATTAGTAGAAATGCCAGGTGTGAGAAGAGACCCCGACAGATTTTTATGTGGGTGAGAATTTATACTTCTGCCATTTATTTGACTCTTGTAAGTAAGAAGTTTGAAAATCATTGGCAGTAGGATTGGATAGGTTTTTAGTCAGGCAGTTTTATTGATTAGGTCATCTTGTTTCTGACTTGATTAATCAAGTCATTATTTTAAAAAATAAATGAAGTGTTGCTGCTGTGAACAAGTTATAGTATTGCAGTGTTCCGTAGCATTTATTAGGTAAAGATTTTTGAAGGCAGAACTTTATAGTACATATTACTCAAATATTTTGACAAAGTGCCTCATTTGACTGAAATGAAAAGTATATGTTGGCTGATTTTGCATACTGCATTTTGATATTGATTATTATATTTTTGAATAATCATTAAAGGGACCAACCATCAGATTTGATATCAGTTATTTTTGTAAAAAGGAATACAATGGGACATGCAAACTGCCTCATTATTATTGGGTAAATAGGATTGTAAAGTTTATATTTTGAATACAATCAGTAAAGAATTATTACATTCCCTTTACGGATCACTCAATCTAACACGATGATGTCATGCATAAATGTTTGATGTCATAGTTGATATATTTTGTCATTATTATAATGGAAAGGGGAGGAAATTTTCCTGGCATTCTCAACAAATTCCTTGTGTTTTTTTTTTTTTTTTTTTTTTTTTTTTTGGGGGGGGGGGGGGGGGGNTGTATTTGAGTGTACAACCTATACACAGTGGCTTAATATGCTAAAGATCCTGAACAGTAAATTAGCCTGTGGCCTCTACTGTACAGGTGTCATTGAACATATACTTAACAAAATATGGTATATTAATCTGTTAAGTCTACCTTACCGTTCTGACTGGTTCAGCGGAAACACACTTCATCTCGTGTTTACTCTCTGGATGAGCATGTTTCCTTGGGTTTGTGCAGAATCATTTGTCCTTAAAATGTGTTATTGCTAATAAGAGGCTTAGAGTTGGCTGAAAAGAACAACTTGCATAAAACTGGCTTGATGGTGTCTATGGCTGTGTTCAAAGCAGTTCACACTTAACGCAAGAAATAGTTTTATTTTCTCCCCAGTTAGACTGGTTGTTGAACATAGGATATGAGGGATAATGAGAACACCTGTGTTATTTGTTACTGTGGTGACACCAGTTAAACCATTTTGGGTTTATCTTGGACTAGTCTGAGCACCCATTTTGTTGCCCTTATCATTCCTTCACAACCAGAGGGACAAAATAAATTAGACTTAATGTTATTTAAGAACCTAGTATGGGCTATCTAAAAGACTGGAGAATTATGGACTCTGTTATAAGCCTTCCTGGTTACACTACAAATAATTACATAAATTGATAAATCAGTGCCCAAAAAAGTCCAATAATTAATGATCCTTAATGACTTTTTTCTTATTTGCGCTTGGATTACTTTGTTAAATACAGTTGCGTATATTTGATATTTGTAAGACAAATATGGTTATAAAGTAGACTTTTGTTGTAAGGTGATTCAGAATTTAAGTGCCACCCATGAAATGTCATTACCTCTTATTACATGGGGTGAGTGGATGGGAAGGGAGGATGCTAGGGGGTGAAGATGAGGTGCCATACATGTTATACACAGCTATTAATTGACTAAAATTTAATGTCTGGTTGCTCCTATTATGGTAGAATCAGGAGCCTGTTTCATTTGAAAAATGGAAAGTTAGTCTGAACATTTTAAACCAGAATATTATTCAACTTTGACTTAAGATAAAATCAGTGTTGTCATATTTAAAAAATGTTGAACCAATTATAAAACAAAAAAAGATATATCTTTTGTTTGATACCAAAAGCTAATCTATCTTTAGAAGCCAACTACAGAATTCAAGATCTCTGTTATTTTGGTGCTAAAACATTACACCCACTGTTCGTCTATAGTTGCCCTGGGAAATAGAGGCCAGTTGTGCCCACAGCAGAGATGAAATTTTTCTTTTTTCCTGCTGGCAGATTCTCAGAGCCAAAAATATCATTGCCCTAGGCGCCCCCTGGACCCCACTCCATATTTTCTGATTGTTTCACTACATGGCAGACTCATCCCTGCCTAAGATTTCAAGTTCTGTGTTCTAGGTGGTCATTCCATGGTATAGCATTAGGTTGACCATGGGTCACTCTAGCATGTAGGTTTTGCCATTGTGTGTCCTAGCTGGTCAGTTAATTGTAAATCCTGACCATGGGTCAGTCTAACACCCATATTTGCTATTGTGTTTCATGTGGTCACTTTGTGGTATAGATTGACCATGGGCCAGTGTAGCACATTAATTTGCTGTTGTGTATTGCAGGTGGTCACACTGTGGTACAGGGCCCCAGAGGTGTTACTACAGGCCAGATATGCCACCCCAGTGGACATGTGGAGCTGCGGGTGCATATTTGCAGAGTTATTTAGGAGAAGGTGAGTCAGTTAATATACATGTGCATGCAGGCGAGCGTACACACACATGGTGCAAATTGCACTCTACATGCAAAAAAACTGCTGTGTAACTCGAGCTTCAAATTTGTGAGCACGAATGCCCAAATTTACAACTATAGCCACCAATTAAGAACCCAAACATAAAATTATTAGCCACAAGCACAAAGTATGGACATGGAGGTCTTGTTAAAATATTTTGCTGGAGACACCCTTTGATAGTAGGGTCAATACAAAACACTAAATGTTTCTTTGAAGTAAGAAATGGCAATATGTGTAGCTCACCTAATCTCTGACTTGTTAAATTGAAACAAAATGTTAAGCTGTATCAATGGTTCAACTAACACAATAGCACATGGTTTTCCATTACATTACATGTCAACTATTGCATTTCTTTTTCCCAGGCCGCTGTTTTGTGGACAGTCTGAAATGGACCAGCTGATAAAAATATTTGAGTAAGTGAGCTAATTGATTACAATATATATGTATTAGTTATCATAATTAAATATATTAAGCAGATGTATAAAGGTGTTTAAACAAGTGTAATTCAAATAATGGGGGAAAAAACTCGACAAATAAGATTATGTTTTTCAGTGTCTGTAGAGCTAAAACTATGCCATTTTTTGAATAGGTTCAATTTTACATTTAACACGGTGAATAAAAACCCAGTGTTGACTTTCACAATAGACCTCTTAACTTGGTTGTTCTTGGCTTAAAGACTAAAATTGAAGGTTATATTGACTCCAAAAAAGTCAAAAGTTGTCATGTTTTACATCTTTGGCAATTCAGTAATATGACTATGATATAAGAGCAAGTTATTGAAATAATTGACACTTGGCCTAGAGAAAGGTGCTAAATTTTTATCAAGGAAGGAAATACTCATAAAAGCCATACAATATTTTAAGCTGCAGAGATAATGAATGTTCTCCTTCAGAATCTTGGGCACCCCGTCCTATGAGGACTGGCCGGAGGGTGTGGCCATTCCCTGGGAGACATTCCGCCCCATGCCCAGGAAGTCCCTCAGGACCATCATTGAGGATCTGGACAGTCCAGCACAGGACCTGCTAGAGGTGAGACTTAAAGGGTATCCATGGGATTTACCTGCCAAAATGGATTTTACTGGGGAAATGAGCAATTTTCACTTACCCACGAATCATTTATCTCTCCCTGTCTGCACTTGGATTGGACTTTTAATTAAATTAATAAAGGTTGATTTAGTTTAAAACTCACAAAAGATATTAGCTAGAGAAAAAGTCAAGATTGTCTCGTACCTGTGTTTCAGAAACTATTCCTCACTGTTTACACCTTGTCACTTTCAGAATCTTCTGTCGTTAAACCCACTTCAGAGCATCAGTATTTTAAAATCTTTGTTGACAATATTCTTTACTGTTTATTTTATGTCACTTTCAGAAACTGTTGTCATTAAACCCACTTCAGCGGATCAGTGCCAGGGATGCTCTACAGCATCCGTATTTCTCTGACAGTATATACCAGGAGGCAGGAGGATCATCATCCTCTCCATCCTCCTCCTCCTCCTCATCCTCTTCAAACAGCAATGGAAACAATTCCGGTGAAAATTATGACACAGACTTCTCTCCTGAGCCAGAGAAATGACCTATCACCATATTGTGTTCAGTATGACATAACTAGACAATTAAAACTTCTGTCGCCACTGCCGTAGTGCTCTTTTAAGTTTTTAAAGGGATTTTTTTATCCAAAGTACAAAAATGGCTTTAAGAAGACTTCTGTTATGGCAACTAGAGTCTGTGTCTCTGTCATTCTCATAGTAAGGTGCTTAATTTTGGAGCAGTATTTCTATTCAGAGGATGAGAAATGGCTTATCGCTGGTGTTAAGTATTTAATGAATAGGGCCAGCTTTTGTCATGTGACTGTAGTATTGCCACATCGTTGTTGTCCTTCAAAGAGGGTATTTCCAAATTTCAACTATGAGGAAGCTTGTACACAGTGGATGAGTGTTTGAAACAACTAAAGGTATCTGAAGAAGAATTGAGACTAATGAAACCTGGAAGTCTACATTAATCCAATTGGAGAAAGATGCACCAGAAATTGTTTTTGAAAAGCTCATGGCTTCATGGGGATTCTAGAGCAGGTAAAATACAGCCTCCCATAGTCTATGACTTTGTGTTGCATTTGCTTCATCTCCATATATATCAGATGCATAGGAAACATGAAATGTAATATGCCAAAAGCATTGCAAGAAGGACTGAGGTGAGTTTCTTGTGGACCAAGGCAGTACTCAAGGTCATACCAGGAAGCCATTAAGAAACATCCATCAGCAGACTGTGGTAGAGCAAGGATGACTGGATACTTCAAATAATTGATGAATTGGCAATTTGCCTAGATTTATTGGAATACATTATATGGACATGAGCTATTTCCGTGTTTGAATTCAATTCTAAGGCAGACCCCGAACCTACAGCTGGTTAGGTGTGAGGTCCCATGATATATTTTTTTTAACCTAGGCTCATGTTTTATTATAACAGTGGACCTTGTATGACATCAAAAGGATACCAAGGAATCACTTTTACATTGTGCAGCTATTAAGAAGTTCTGGATATAGTTCTGAATTCGATGATGTCTGCCATGGATACAGGCCAAGTGCAAATATGAACGAACAATTATTGAGAACAAAGTTCTATCAAGGGGCTGCCAGACTTGAGTTATATCTGAATACTTAGTAGAAATGCCAGGTGTGAGAAGAGACCCCGACAGATTTTTATGTGGGTGAGAATTTATACTTCTGCCATTTATTTGACTCTTGTAAGTAAGAAGTTTGAAAATCATTGGCAGTAGGATTGGATAGGTTTTTAGTCAGGCAGTTTTATTGATTAGGTCATCTTGTTTCTGACTTAATTAATCAAGTCATTATTTTAAAAAATAAATGAAGTGTTGCTGCTGTGAACAATTTATAGTATTGCAGTGTTCTGTAGCATTTATTAGGTAAAGATTTTTGAAGGCAGAACTTTATAGTACATATTACTCAAATATTTTGACAAAGTGCCTCATTTGACTGAAATGAAAAGTATATGTTGGCTGATTTTGCATACTGCATTTTGATATTGATTATTATATTTTTGAATAATCATTAAAGGGACCAACCATCAGATTTGATATCAGTTATTTTTGTAAAAAGGAATACAATGGGACATGCAAACTGCCTCATTATTATTGGGTAAATAGGATTGTAAAGTTTATATTTTGAATACAATCAGTAAAGAATTGTTACATTCCCTTTACAGATCACTCAATCTAACACGATGATGTCATGCATAAATGTTTGATGTCATAGTTGATATATTTTGTCATTATTATAGTGGAAAGGGGAGGAAATTTTCCTGGCATTCTCAACAAATTCCTTGTGTGTTTTTTTTTTTTTTTTTTTTTTTTTTTTTTTTTTTGGGGGGGGGGGGGATGTCCAAATTCCAGATTGTGCTGTGACCATTCTTCACATCACTTAGTCATGTGATTGACTATGTGCATTCCATTTTGCATAAGGAAATTACTTTTAACAATAAGATAAATTACTTTATTTGAGAAGGATGTGTGCCTTTCAAATAAAAAGTCTGCTGTTAAGAAATTGGGGGAAATTCCTTTAAGTGATGTCATGAGCACAGTGGAAGAAATGCATTACTGTTGTTTATAACTGTCTTCTTGTTTCAAATGAATGTACATCCTCTTTTATTGTTGAAAAACATTATTATTATTAAATGGTGTCATTCATGTAGCTCATAATTTCAGGACAGGTTTAAGAAAGGTCTTTTGAAACCGGTTTTAACAGTGGCAGAAAGTGCTGTACATGGGCTTGTAAACATTTATGCTAAGAGTCATTTGTGCATATTCATTTCTTCCATAACAGTGTGTAGGCAGATTGTGACGTAACACTAGATAGAATGTGACAGTTTAAAAGCTTTGGATCGTTCTCCAAGCCTTGATACCGTCTATTTGCACATTGCATGATTTTGCGAATTGAGGAAATTTTAACATCAACAATACTACCATCACCGGTGCTACGATTTTTCGAATTGAGGGAATTTTAACGTCAACAATACTACCATCACCGGTGCTTTTTTAATACAGAAAAAGTGAGTGTAGATGAATGGATTTTCGTTTTCCTAGCGTATTTTCTGTACTCCCTCCTTTTATATTTAAGTTTGTCTTGATGTATACATTCATCAGTGTTTTCTTTGCAGTCAATATTCCCAGACTAGATTTTTAGTTGTATTTCAGTTTTATGCATACGAAGGTCTGTCTTTGTTTTCAATTTGAACTTTCACTGCCGTTGTGTTTCTGAAGAACAAAATAGGTGAATTAAACATCACTAGGTAATAAACCTTTTGCATTTAGATTTTTATGTAAAGTGTACAGCTATTTAGTCTTAGAGCTTCATGTAAGTGCTGCTGCTATTTTTGTTGCAGACCTGTAGGTAAATGATGTATTGATGTCATTCGTAGAATCTTGATAAAAAATGGCCCTTAACGCTGGTCACTGTTCATCAACTAAGATTTCAGTCAACATTTTAATTTGCATGCATTTATTTTCTGCGGAGGTGTGTTTATGTAGCTGGGATATTAAGCTTTTTACCCATTGTTTTTGATGCTCCGTATTATTGGAAGGAGATCACAAACTGTGAAATATGCTATAGATGAAAACGAAAGCAGACGACAGCAATGAACCTTGTCAGAGCCCACGCAATTCAGCCATACTGCAATCAATAAGTCACAGCAATCTGATTATTGGCAATTAATAACCAAAGATATTGTCATATGTGTGGCCTCCTTGTGTCAGTCGATATCTGACCCGGTTATTGTCAAAAGGTTCCTCTTTTTTTACCTGTAGGAAAGATCACTTTTTAAGGTGTGTTTGAGTGCAGTAACGCTTACAGGTAACCGCTTGAGAAGTACTTGTTTTTGGTAGCGCAGTAAATAATCAGTTTTATTATTGCTTCGAATATGTTTTGCTTTTGAGTATATTTCTTGAGACGATTTAAAGAGAGGAAATGTCTAACAAAGTATGTTGTAATGAAATAACGAACAAAGGTTCGTTACATCTGTGTTGTACGATCCTTGATTATTGCAATGCATAACAATGCACGGTACCACGTTGATCACAATGATGTTTGTACCACCAATGTTCACTTATTTGAAGTGTGAAAAGAATAAATTTGTCAAATAAAAAATAATTGGATGGATTTCTTTTTACCTAAACTGAATATGCTTCACTCTCGTACACACCTCGGACAACGTGCTGATGCTATGCACAGGTGTAAGACTTTTTCGTGTAAAGATGTCCCTACTTAGGAGCATTCGTCACCTCCAATTTTTCAAGCAATTGGTGCAGAGGAATGTTTATATATTAACTTTTCTTTGATTAACCAAATCTAGATATCACCATTTGTTACTTTATATGTAAGTTTTACTGCTGTCTGATAAGAGTTGTGTGTGTCATGCGAGAAAATTAATGTTGCAAGTTCAAAATACCAGCGCGTTTTTATACTTGTGTATGAGTAATTCGTACCGTAAACTTAAGGTCTATATAGAAGCAATTGAACATCTCACATCAAAAAGGACAAATAGCCGAAGTGAAAATGAAAAATATATATATTTCCTGAGAATAATCACGGAAGATGTTAAAATTTATTGAGCAACAACCTTTAATCCGCACAGCAAAATTTTAATTAATGGCAGTCTATAGTTGTAAATCCGTAATTTCGCGTACTTTTTACCATATATTTTAGAAATTAAATATGTAGTTAACGATAAAAAGTTCAATACGACACTGAAGCAGATACGCTTGTGAGCTGCACGTGGAAGAAAGAAATAATCCTTGTAAATTGCCCTCTAGCCCTTAGAAACGCTTGTGCCCAAAATAATTTCAACATTCAGCAACCCTGCATCACGCAAAGAAGGTCCTTTTTTCAATTTACGGCAAAGTACCCGGGAACGCCAGTACATTGCGACCATCATACTTGAATGACTTTTCCACATCCGGGGCAGGAAAGAGGGCGCCACGGGCCGTACCCTTCCCCAAAAGGTCGTTAGACACCGTGCAGTCAATGATAACGTTCCCATTTGGAGGAACAAAACTGTTACATTCGTACTCGATGGAGATGGCTGTCCTGCCGCCGAAAATGTCGCTTTTCTCGCCGCAAAAATCGATGGCGTAATCTCCACGTGAGATTTGGGCCCCGGCGTTGAGGGTGTTGCCGTAGGTGCCGGTGGCGGCAAAGTCCGACAGTACCTTTATTGCCCAACCTTGTAATATAATGGTGCGACACGAATATTAGCTGTTAGGTTAACGTTATAAGTGAATTGAATAAAGAAAGTATTACAAATTTTTTACAGTTTATGTTGGCCCAATCCAACCATCTCAAAAACTTTTGAGTCAAATGTCTGAATTAGAAAATAGGCACTTTTCCTTACGTACATCGACAATTTCTTCGTTGATAATCTAAATTAACTGAATTAAATTATCAAATTATTAATAAATAAATTAATTTATTTATTTATCTATTTAAAAAAGATGTTAATTCTATTCTCTTCGCCGCCTTCCCCAGGAATATTTCAACCTACCGCCATTCGAGACCGCTGAGTTAAAGAACCTTGCTTGATCTCCCATGCTTGCGGACACAAGTCGGTAGCGGCCAGAAGGGTTGAGGAGATAGTTGTAAAAAATGACCTCTCCCCCATTCCCGTCCTTCACCGAGTGTTTAATGCCGGTGCTATCCAAATAGGCCTCGTCCGGAAGGTTGGTAAAGTCCACTCCAAAACGCTCCTGTAAGGACACGGTGTATATATATATATATATATATATATAGAGAGAGAGAGAGAGAGAGAGAGAGAGAGAGAGAGAGAGGAATGAAGAAGTAAGTAGAAATTCTGCTCCTCAGATTTTCTTAATTATCATTAGTAACCCTTAAACTTTTACGAGAACGAGATGGAACCCACCTTGAACCAAGCTGCCGTGGCTTTGCCTTTTTTAATTGCCTCCTCCGCGCTTCGGCCAGCTTTC